CAGTGGTACTGCCACTCTTGCTACCCACTCCTCTACAGCCTCGGCTCCTGCTACAGTCACTCTTGCTACAGCAGCTCCTGCTTCTACCACTCTTGCTACAGCTGCTCCTCCTGCTTCGGCCATTCCTGGTGCTCCCACACCTGCTGCGGGGTCCGTCCAGGCATTGTCGCACCAGTTGTCAGCACGCCATTTGTCGATCAGAGGCAGTGCTGAGCTGGCATCTCTGGGCAGGTCGCTTGCTGCTGTGGCAGCCTCAGCACTTGGGTGAGCGAGTAGGGAATCAGGGTTCAGAGGAGTGTGTGCGAGAGGGGAGTGGAATTGTTGATGTGAATGGGCCAGCAGAACAGGAGGGGAATATTGTCAGACAACCAAGACAATCTACACAAGCTATTTCCCAAAGGTCTACAAGGGGTGGTGGTGGTGTACAGGGCTCAGATGTTGGTGAAGTGCCATCACAACCAGACTATGATTTGTTCGATGAACTGTTTGGTACCGAACAGAGCTTCCTTATGTGATTCTCTGATATATAAGCTTTTATACTGAGTTTATGACAGTATAGACCTATGTGTGTTATTAAAGACAGTGAGTGGCCTCTTAATGCTTCGTCACGATTGAGGGCTTATCCCAGCCAATCACACTTCAGGGCTTCGTCTCGTAGAATCGTTGAAATCTATTCGTTCTGTGCAGCTGCCACAACAGCATGGATGTTCGATTGTCTCTCGTCGCGTCGCTAGCATGTCATCAGCGTTTGCGGCCACGCCGCTTCCCGCGCCTGCTGACATGGCCGCTGGGGCCCTCAAACTTTCCCGACCGCGTGTGACTTTGAAACCCGGTTTATCACGCAAGCCTGGCACGGATTGTGGGACACGGCCCACGGGCCAGGCCCACAACTTTGCAGGGGCAGTGTGGCTCTCCATTTTCCCTGCCCTGAAGTGTCGCGGTTCGCCACAAAAACAGGAGATTTTGCTGGTTCTTGAATGGCGAAATTGCAGGTTCGAGAGACACTGCTTCCCCCCCAAGTTGTCGAATCGAAGGCTGCGCAATTGGCACTCCGCAACTTGCCCGCGCCAGTCCCCTGAGCTGAGATCCCTCCCCCGACCACCAACGTCACGTCAGGGACAGGTCACGTCAAATGCACCCGCCACCATTCGCTCCCCGACCTGGACGCGAACGAAACCAAGGGCTTTGCGCGCGCCCCCATTTCCGGCAATATCTTGTGGGGCAGTACAAGTACAAGCATATCGGTCGGGACGGGTCTCTCGTCATGGTTCATCCAATCCGTGTCGCCGGCGGACAATAATGCTGTTCCGCTGGGATTTCCGCATGCTGCGCTAGCCTCTCCGCCAATTACCGTGCCCAGCCACGACAACCCCCTGTCGGAACGGAACGGAAGGGAAGCTGGTGCAAGAAGGAAGCTAGTCCCCCATAGCGGGAGGGGGGAGGAAGGAGGCAGGGAGGGAGCAGCAGCTGTGCCGTGTTTGCCACAGGAAGGAAAGGAAAGTCGGAAACCCAGGGTACACAGGTCGGGACGGGACGGGACGAGACGGGAGAGAGATGCAGGGACAAGAGGAGGAGCACTACTAACCTAAATAACAGTTCCCAAGGTCTACCATTGTCAGTTCTGCTCTTGAAATTCCAGTACCGAATGCTTACACAGGATGGCGAGCACTTCTGAGCTCCTTAGCAGATAGTTAAACGGTGTTAGTGCCTCAAGGTCCCTGAAATCATATAGCTAGGGCATAATTTTTTAGTAGTATCCGCACATGGCTTCAGTTTCGCCCTCGGAATTGCATCTTGCAGTGCTCTCAGGCGACTTAAAGGTGACTCGAAAACTCCTTCGCGACGGATGGGACTCGGCGGGACGCGACGGTTTCGGTCGCACGCCGCTCCAATGGGCCGTGATTCTCGGTCACGAAGACATCACAAAGGCTTTGATTGTCAACACACCGCTTCGTTTCCTCCACTCTTCAGACCGCCATGGCCGCAACGTCCTGCACTACGCCGCCGCGCAAGGCCGAGCAGAGCTCCTCCGCGTGCTGATTCAGCGCGGCGGAAACGTCAATTCTCGGGATTGCCTTCAGAAAACCCCTCTGCACTTCGCCGCTGCAGCCGTCGATCCGTTTGTAGCGAAATTCTGCTGGAGAAAGGCGCAGATCCGTCCTCCTTAGACGCGAGTGGATTAAGTTCCATTGGACTATGCCGTTAGATACGGGAGCGTGGGCTTGCGAGAAGCTGCTCCGGAGTACTACGAAGAGTAATAAGGATTCCGTCGACGGAGCGGAGACGAAGAGAAGCGCATCGACCGAGCGCAGCGCGCGACACCCCATGGCCACTCTGGACGCAAATGTCCCGCTTTCCCTCGGCAACTCGTCCAATAACGGCTTCAGAACCACCACAGAATCCAGCAGGCACGGTGTCTGCGTCGTCTTACTGTCGCTCCACCTCCTCAGTTCACTCCGCCTCCTCAAATCTATCCGCCTCCGCGATTCCCTCCGCTACCCCCACCTCCACGAATAAAGCCGCGCCGGGCAGCATCGGCGTTGGAGTCGTTGCTTGACGCCTGGAAGTCGTCGTGCGAAAGGTCTCGCCTTTGCGACTCGCAAGCGACTGCTGCGAATAATGCGACAGGCGATCTCTCGTCGCCGTCGAGAATAACCGTCAGCACGCCAGAGGCTACCGCTGCACCCGTGCGTGAGCAGTGCACGGCGGGTGATCCGCGCGCGTCCGCCATGGAGTGGAGCGCCGTGCGGCATAGTCGGCTCGTGCAACGGATCGTGCAATCAACTGAACGGGCCGTGCGGCTTGGCCGGACAGGTGGCCTGGCACGCGGCGGAAAAAGCCAGCCGCGCGGTTTGCTGCTAAGCGCATCTGACGCATCACCGAATAAGTTATCCCGGCCCTGTGAAGGGAATAATCGTGGCGACGCATAAGTGGACAGTCAGATTGTTGATATTGTCGCTTTACGTTCACTGACTGTTCTTCTCGTGGTCGTTGCCACTCACCTGTTCTTCTGTTTGAGTACTACTGAAGAACTCAACGGCCTTACACTCTTCCGTCACAGTACTTGCTGTTGAAACTGTACGACCTTACACTGTTCTTTCGTTTTAGCACTTCCATGTCTGCCGCCACGGCGCATCACCGGACTCCTCTCCTCGTCTCGGGTCTCATTTCAAGAGCCGTAGCTATGACCTGTGCGGTATAAATGTGGGCACTATGTAAGAGCCAGAGGGTGAGAATCACCAATGTCAGAGATGTGTTCTGTGTAATGTTGTGTTCTGTGTAATGTTGTATTACCGTACTTCTGTTTCCTTGTCTCATCAAGTTTTTAGAATCTAGCCAGCTGGTATCGTCATCTTTCCAATAGAAATGCATGAGCTAATAGTGTACAGTACAAGCACAAGATGGTTCTATTTAGCCTTGAGATATGCATGTCTGACAAAGGAGTACTCACAGTCTACATGCGCTGTTATTGTGATGCTTAGTACAATCCTCGTCCTTATCAATCTGCTATCACGTGCATGTAGACACTTCCCTCAGTGGTTGATCTTTTGACGAAGAAAAGAAAAGAAAAGAGAAAGGGAGAAGGAAAGTGAAACCGCCAAGAAGAACCCAAATGCAACACACATAAAACCCCCTCTCAAGATACCCAATCAAAACGCCCAGTCAAGACACCCTGTCAAGACATCCCATCCCACACCCCATTTCCCCCCCCCCCCCAATCACAACAGCGAATCCACCATGTACGGGGCCTCCACCCAGAGAGCCCCGCCTTCCGCATCGCCATCGTCCCACTCCCGGTCCACCAAGTCAACGTTAATCCCCCCCATAGAAGACGCCGCTCGAAGCAGGATGACACGGGCTTGCGCACGTTGCAACGCCACCCCCGATGAGCGCCTTCAGTGACCCTAGAAGATAAGCCGAAAACACAGTGTCGTCCTCCGACGAGCCCCCCGCGACACAGCTAGCCCCACGTGCGCATCTCCCTGCTGACGAAGCCACCTCCGAAAGCGACCGCCGAGACACCCCCACGTCTCCACTATCAGAGGAGTGAACTGCACGCCCCGGTTGCGTGCAAGCAGAGGCGCGTAATCGCTCGTTTTACGACGCTCCCATTCTCTTGCCGCCACGCCTATTTGACGCCCGCACTGTCCTAGCAAAGATGGAGACAGCGATAGCGGGTCCGCGACGCTGATCTCCAGGGCGTGAGCCTCTCCAGCCATTGGTCGTCGCACCGCCACATCAACCCGCTTCCCCTGCAGCACCACACTATCCTCCATTGTCACCACCCCCCCAGACGCCTTAGAGATCTTCGCCACCGCAAACTTCACCTCATCATATACCCGAGATGGACCATGCTGGTGCTTGCATCTCAGGGCATGATGCGGGTCTGCTGAGTCAACATATGTTGTGCCACAAACACACCTCCCCGCCACCTGCAGCTGCTGAATTGGGAGCCCGAGCCGTATAGCAGCAGCAATGCCCCACTCCGCCGCAGTGAATGTGAGATCTGAGTGAGCCGGAACCGCCGAAACCCATGCACCAGCCCCCGGGCCCTGAAGGGATGTGAAACGGGCCAGGGTGGCATCGTCACGAGCCGAGCGACGCAGTGTCTGGAGCTCCTCTACCGCCAACAACCGCTGCCCGCGCCTGGAAAAGCCGAAGAGGAGGGGCCGCTACGCACAGAGGTAAGCCCGGCATCTCCTGGCGTATAGTCGCAGGCAGCTGCTCAAGAGCCTTGGCAAACCACGGGTCAAGAAACTCCGCCCCTGCCGAAGTGGTGAGGTACTCTGCAAACATCGCCTCCTCGCCCGCCACCCCCCAACTGTGCAATATCACGCGCGGCCTGTGCCCACCCACAAACATAGGACAGCGGACTCAAAGAGGCTGCTGCCCGGATCCCAAACCCTCCGAGTCGCACAGGGAGATGCAGCTGCATGCGCGCGCGCCTAGACCGGTCGGGTCATGCTCCCAAGTGCCAGGTGGGAAAAGCTGCTCAAAGCAATCCTCCAGACAGCTATCCCAATCCCTGAAGGCCTCCACCACCTCCGGACGCGGCGGCATAGTCCGGGCCAGGTACATCGGCCGTGCTGAAACTGCAATGGCGAGGAGATGTGAAGCCATCTGAGGGTGGTCGAGCAGGGGGAGCCATGGCAATGACAAGATGGTTCTATTTAGCCTTGAGATATGCATGTCTGACAAAGGAGTACTCACAGTCTACATGCGCTGTGTTGTTGCATTCCCAATGGGAATACTCCCTGCATTCCTTGATTCTACCTAGGTACTAACAGCTTTATTTATTTACGGTTGCTACACCTTACCCGTCTTTTACCGTGGCTCTCATCCCGTCTCTGGATCTAGCGGCGTTACCCGCTCGTTCAAGTCGCACGAGCTTTCGCCACCACTGACTCATTTCCTTTCCGCCGCCACGCATCGGCACCAGCCAAATAATGTTTACGCTTTACAATAATGTTCCAGCCATTTCACTCCGCCATGGTCGCACGTGTGCCACGTGCTCCAAACGCTCCAGCAGCGTCGCGCGAAAAGCATCGTCACCGTCGACGACGACAGCGGTGCGACGCTAACCAGGTCGCAATCGGTCGCATGTCGCATGGAGACTCTCTGCGGCGTCGCGCCGGGGGAGCGCGTGTGCATCGCGGCGCTAAATAGGTACCATGGCATAATATTGCATAGCATACCTAACAATTTCGTAGCAAGTGGTATCTGATCGATCTCCCAACCAAGTTACATAGCTAGCTTGCTGCCATTTACGGCCTATTTCCGGTAAACTGGGAGCAGCAGCAGTGCATGCTTTAGCGATCGACACTGCTGACCTGACGGCGAATAGCACGCGCGAATGGTAAACGACGCACGAGCACGACCCCTTTCCACCGTCCCTCTCCACTCACCCCTTGGCTGATCCCTTCACGTGCAATACACGACCACACTGATATCTCAACCATCGAATGTGCTATTATTGAACCACAGTCCTCTTCCCCCCATCCCCATGCAGCTCCGCGTACGTGCAGTGGCTACTCGCAATGCCAGCTGTCGGCGCCATCCTTGCGCCTCTCAACCACCGATGGGTCAGTGCCAGTCCCTCTCTCCATCCACTCAGTTCGCACCACTCCTCCCTGCCGCATATTCAAATTCAGTCATCGTCTAGTCGATGCAGTAGTCATATTATATTTCAACGTTCACCTCAACGCCCTTTCCCTCTTCCCCCTTCCCCTGCCGTTATACAGCCACGCGTGCAGAGCATAGAGGAAGCAGCAGCAGCGGTCTATGCTGGGTAGAGAGTCATAAGGAAGAGAGCCGATAACCCAATACGAGCCGGCGAAGTCTGTCGATCAGAGATCAGCGATTGACGATCGGTGATGATCATCAAGCGATCAGCATCGATCCGCGATGCATCCCAAGGTGAGCCGTGCATCCCAAGGTGAGCCGTGCATCCCAAGGTGAGCCGTGCATCCCAAGGTGAGCATTCCTAATAAGCCCGTAGCTCACCTTCTCATCATATTTTTAATGGTTCTTATCATCTCTGTCCAACCCATTGTGTTCTCGCCTCGTGCTACATAGCCCGATGCTGCATACTTAGGTCAATCACGTGATGCAAAATAGCTGTAAGAATTTTGACTGTAAGTCACCTGGTAACCGCCTATCGTGCTTGCATGCATCTGCATCTGTATGTGTGTGTCTGCAGGTGGATGCAGGGCCGCTCACCACTGTCGTCATGGCGGTGTATTTTGTGTATCATGAGTGAGCCGCCCGCTGAGGCATGCAACACTCGGCCTCGCCAGCCCGCATACAGCGGGTGGCTTGATATCCTGGTGAGGTCACCTTAACCTGTATTGTTTACCACTGTTGTACGCTTCTTATTCATGCTTCATCGAATGACATGCATACCGTACATCCAGCCCCCAGCCGAGTATCTTGTCCCAACCCACAAACTGGTACTTGTCCTTCAATCTCCGTTCCCTTTCACCCCGTTTGTGCCTCTCAGGCATTCATAGTGGCGCTCGTCAGCATTGCCATCTCAGTCTATGCCACTGGAATCGACTCTCGCTGCTTCTCCCTCCGCCCTGGCTGTCAAGACAAAGAAACCGCCGTAACGGAGAGGTTCCCTACGGATATGGCCTCTTCCATCTCGTGTCCCTTACAGGTTCAATGTACACGGCTATGACATAACTAGGCCGGAATATTACCTGAGCCAAGATGGATTTGCTGTGGTTATCTGCTTTGGTTTATCTGTGGACGCTCATTGCTCCCTTCGTGTTGAGGGGTAGAAAGTTTGTATGACTGCTTACAGTCATGGTGGATGCTGTCACAATCTTTCACACTTCAGCATGCTGTCACTATGTTGGTACCGTAGGTAGGGACTCCCATAATCTCTGTTGGTGATATATCTGCAGCACACAACTTTGCCTGGAATGTTCCATGGCAGGGAATTTTGTCTTTGTTGCATGTTAATGATTCGATTTGCATTAAATTATGTGAATGTATGTATTTTGTCCTAGTGCATACATGCATAATTCTCTTTCAACAGCTCTGCTGGGGCCTATGCTACTATTGTGCATGCTGCTAGCTATCTTCAATTCAAATGTCCTTCCTGGGACGTATTTGTTTGATCCATAACCTATGCAGATCTATCAGGGAATTATCTAAATCTACAATCATCAGTGCAATTATAAAGCGTGCCATGGTCTTCTCTTGGGTCTTCTGGGCCCCTCTTGGCCACTAGGGGGGTTAACCCCTAGTGTTACACCCACACAGCACGTTGAGGTGGGGACCCTTCGTGTGGGACGTGCATGGGAACCACGGGGGATTAGTAGCAAACAGCAAGCAAGCAAGCACAGCAACTAACAAGGAAACAAGCAAGGAACCAGCGAAGAAAAAACAAGCAACAAACAACGAAACAGCGAAGAAAAAACAAGCAGCAAACAAGGAACCAGCGAAGAAAAAACAAGCAACAAAAACAAGGACATCAAAGAATTACATGCAAGGAAAGCACGGAAAGCAGCTACACTTACAACACGCACCACCACGACGACTGTTGCTGGCGTGCCGTGCAGTCCACCTCCCCTCCGCAACCCCGCAGTGGCACGAGGAGGACATGAAGCGTCCCCCAAGCCTCGCTCAAACCAGGCAGAGCCCGGCCCAGGTGGAGGCGGGGTGAGGCTCATCCGATTTCAGGTAGCGTCCCGCCATCCATCATCAGAGCACCCACACACAGGGGCGCTTCCGGCGTTAGGAGGCCAACAGGCGTTAGGATGCCAACCCTAACGCCGTTAGCACTCCCCTGCCGCACACCACCTGATGCCACCGTTGGGGGTCTTCACTTCAGTGCTCCCCACGCATGTTGAGCATATCAACTTGACGGGAGGGGAGGGGAGGGGAGGGGAGGGGAGGGGAGGGGAGGGGAGGGGAGGGGAGGGGAGGGGAGGGGAGGGGAGGGGAGGGGAGGGGAGGGGGAGGGGAGGGGAGGGGAGGGGAGGGGAGGGGAGGGGAGGGGAGGGGAGGGGAGGATGAGGAGAGGAGAGGAGAGGGGAGGGGAGGGGAGGGGAGGAGAGGGGGGGGGTGAGGGGGTCTTCGGTCTTCAGTCTTCGGTCTTCTTCCTGTAAAAAAATAGGAGCGATAAAACAGCAGTGAGTTTCCTGAGGCGATAAAGCATGGGGCAGTTGCGGAGAAAAGCAAGGCGAGAAAATCAGCTTACCAGAGAAGCGCAGAAGCGACTGCTCCTCCTTGCCTCTGCTGCATCTCCTGCGTAATGAAAGAAGCAGGATTCAGGAAACAATGTTATGGCAGGCAGATGAAGGAAGTAGGGATATCGAGCTCACGAAAACTGAAAAACGGCAACGCATACAGGGTCAATGAAAAATGAAGCAAGGCGAGAAGAGGAGGCTTACCAGAGAAGAGCAGAGGCGACTGTCCCCCCCCCCCCCTCCCCCCCCCCCCCCCCCCCCTCCCCCCCTCCCCCCCGCTGCCCCTCGCCGCCTCTGCTGCATCTCCTGTGTAATGGAAGAGGCAGAATTCAGGAAACAGGGTCAAGATAGAAAGATGAAGGAAATTAGGGAAAAGAGCTCACGAAAACTGAAAAACGGCAACGCATACAGGGTCAATGAAAAATGAAGCAAGGCGAGAAGAGGAGGCTTACCAGAGAAGAGCAGAGGCGACTGTTCCCTCCCCCCCCCCCCCCCCCCGCTGCCCCTCGCCGCCTCTGCTGCATCTCCTGTGTAATGGAAGAGGCAGAATTCAGGAAACAGAGTCAAGACAGACAGATGAAGGAAATTAGGGAAAAGAGCTCAAGAAAACTGAAAAAACGGCAACGCATACAGGGTCAATGCAAAATGAAGTAAGGCGAGAAGAGGAGGCTTACCAGAGAAGAGCAGAGGCGACTGCTCCTGTTCCCCCCCCCCCCCCCCCCCGCTGCTCCTCGCCGCCTCTGCTGCATGTCCCTGGCTAAACAAAACCAGAAACACAAGGGGACATTAGCACGTACAATTACACGAGAAGAAAAAGAAACGAATGCAAAAAACGAATGCGACTTACATGTTGGTGATGGTGTTGACCCTCCAAGCTGCTGCTCCCGCCGCCTCAAATGCTCACCTGAAGTGCCGTCTCCTCAAATGCTCACCTGAAGTGCCGCCTCCTCAAATGCTCACCTGAAGTGCCGCCTCCTCGAATGCTCACCTGAAGTGCCGCCTCCTCGAATGCTCACCTGAAGTGCCGCCTCCTCGAATGCTCACCTGAAGTGCCGCCGCCTCGAATGCTCACCTGAAGTGCCGCCTCCTCGAATGCTCACCTGAAGTGCCGTCTCCTCGAATGCTCACCTGAAGTGCCGCCGCCTCGAATGCTCACCTGACGTGCCGCCTCCTCGAATGCTCACCTGAAGTGCCGCCTCCTCGAATGCTCACCTGAAGTGCCGCCTCCTCGAATGCTCACCTGAAGTGCCGCTTCCTCGAATGCTCACCTGAAGTGCCGCCTCCTCGAATGCTCACCTGAAGTGCCGCCTCCTCGAATGCTCACCTGAAGTGCCGCCTCCTCGAATGCTCACCTGAAGTGTAGCATCCTCGAATGCTCACCTGAAGTTCCGCCACCTTGAATGCTCACCTGAAGTGCCGCCGCCTCGAATACTCACCTGAAGTGCCGCCGCCTCGAATGCTCACCTGAAGTGCCGCCTCCTCAAATGCTCACCTGAAGTGCCGCCGCCTCGAATGCTCACCTGAAGTGCCGCCTCCTCGAATGCTCACCTGAAGTGCCGCTTCCTCGAATGCTCACCTGAAGAGCCGCCTCCTCAAATGCTCACCTGAAGTGCCGCCTCCTCGAATGCTCACCTGAAGTGCCGCCGCCTCGAATGCTCACCTGAAGTGCCGCCTCCTCGAATGCTCACCTGAAGTGCCGCCTCCTCGAATGCTCACCTGAAGTGCTTCTCTCCCCTCCGTCTTGCCAAAAGCACACCACACCACACCATACCACTCCACACCACTCCACACCAAAACCAGAGACTACAGTCGGTGACGCTGTAGACTCCCCGTGCGCCTCCCTTGACGGTGGGAAGCTGAGGGAACGGAGTGCAGGTCAGGTTGGGCGTCAAAGCTGGAAGAGGAGGTGCGTGGAGGGCAGTGCTGAGGAATGAGGACGTGGAGCAGCGATGGGCGGGGCCGCCGTGAGGACTTACGAGAGGGGGCCCCACCCTCTCTGCCTCACATTCCAAACGCTGCTCTCCGTTTCTCATTCCCACAGCATCCCAGTCATGCATCCCCTCGTCCAACCCATCATCCACTCCCTCACGTTCCTCTGCCTCACCCCTTGCCAGACGTGCCGCATCCTCGCCTAAAGTGCCGCCTCCTCGACTGAAGTGCCGCCTCCTTACCACACCATACCAGACCACACATCACTACACCTGCTCTTCTGCAGGCGCCTCCGATCTTGAGTGAAGAAGCCATGTTGAGTGAAGAAGCCATGTTAAGTGAAGTGCCGCCTCTCCTTGCCTCCTCACCTCAACTGTCACACCGCACTACACCTCTGCTGAAGTGCCGTCTCCTTGCCTCCGCGCCGGCTCGTTGCGTGAAGTGTCCTCTTTTCCTCATACCGCACCATACCATTCCACACCGCACTACACCTCTGCTGAAGTGCCGCCGCCTTGCCTCCGCGCCGGCTCGTTGCCCGAAGTGTCCGCCTCCTCCTCATGCCGCACCATACCATTCCACACCGCACTCCACCTCTGCTGAAGTTCCGCCTCCGCGCCTCCTTGCCCGAAGCGCCCGCCTCGAGCAGAGCGGGTGGTCAGCAGGGCGGGTAGGAGGCCGCCGTGTGGCTGCCGGCCGTGCGTCATCCCACTGCTCGCCACTCCCTCTCACTGCTGCCGTCGTCCCTCTCACTTCTCGACACACAGACAGATGCACGAAGTCAGTAAACAGAACTGCAAAATGGAAAAGAAAGCAAAAAAAACACAAGGAAACGAAATGCGGAATTGAAAGCGGAGAACAACACGAGGAAACGAGGTGGGTGGTGGGATGGATGCACGTCCATGATACGCCGGCTGCAGCTAGCAGAGGGAGGAGCTATGCTACCCAAAACCCAAACTCAATACTACCCAACCCAACCTTAATGCTACCCAAAACCCGCGGAGGACATCTACTAAGCTGCAGCCGAATGTATCAGAGGGAAGTGCACAAACGCGAAATGCAGGACGATGGAGTGAAGAACGAACGAAGTGAGGAAAACGAATGACGAAACGGAACGAATGACGAGAAGGGAAGGCGAGGGGAAAGACACTTCCCAGTTGCTTTGCTGCCCACGAGATGCCAGTGTTGCCTTGCTGCTCCACGAGCGGGTGGTCAGCAGGGCAGGAAGAGGCAGCCACACGCCAGTGCCTGTTGGCCGTGCGTCCACCTCAGCAGCGCCAGGATCAGCCAGCAGCACTCCAGCAGCGCCAGGATCAGCCAGCAGCACTCCAGCAGCGCCCGGATCAGCCAGCAGCACTCCAGATGCTCCTGGCTGATGCATTGATGCTCCTCGAGCGGGTGGTCAGCAGGGCGGGTAGGGGCGCTGTCCGCTCAGCGATGGGCTCTCTGCCACTCCTCCGCTCAGCGATGCGCTCCTCCGTTCAGCGATGCGCTCTCTGCCACTCCTCCATTCAGCGATGGCCATGCGTCATCCCACCGCTCGCCTCTCCCGCTCGCCACAGCAATGCAGCGTCATCCCCCCTGCTACTCCAGTTGCTATCGCCCCGTAGTTGAGTCTGAACGAGGAGCAGAGGGAGCAGAGAGGCACAGAGGGTAGAATCAAGAGCAAGAGCAAGAGCAGGTAGCCGAAAGCGAACAAGATAGGAGTGCGAGAAAGCAAGCAAGTAGCAGTGAACAAGATAGGAGTGCAAACAGTGAGCAAAGTGGAGCGACAAGTGAGTGCAGAAGGGGGGGGGGAGTGCAAGGGTAGAGGAGGGAACTAACCTTTTGTGGCCGCTCGTTGCTTTCGCCTCGCCCGATTCGCCGGACCCTCCTAGCATCGCCTTGCCTCCAGATTCAGGATTAACACCCGCAAGTCAGCAGCGTCGCCTCCTCTCCTCGCCAGCAACGTCCGCTTCAGCAACGTCTGCACAAGTCAAACCACCCAGCATCAGTGAAGAAGTACTCGAATTTGTAATAAAGCAACGAAGAAAAAAATTGCTCAGGTTTCCAATATTGAAAGCGCTGAAAACCGTTGGGAGAAGTTCAGATTCAGATATTCAGATTCAAATCACTCCATAATTCATATTCAAATTCAGCTTACCATGGCAGAGCAGAAGTTCCTCCGGTGCAGTGCGCATTCTCAACTGCAACAGCACCTCCGTTCTTCAGCAGTGCAGCGCCGTCCGTGCTTCAGCAGTTGTTTCTGAGCCTCAGGTGCAGCAGCACGCTGCTAGCCTCAAACGGTTTGCTGCTGCTCCCACAAGGTGCAGTGGAGAGCAGCAGGCCTTGGACCTCCTCTTCTCCTCTGCTCCGCTGCACCACGCTGCACCACGCTGCACCACGGTTCTTCTCCACGCTGCTCCACTCCGTGATGCTCCACTCCATGATGCTCCACGCGTTTCACGGCAGACCCAACTCCTGCACGGACAAGGACAGCACGAAACGCAACGAGTAAGATGGAATAAGCGGAAACGGAAACGTCTTAAGGAAATCGAAGAAGCGGAAACGGAAACGTCTTAAGGAAAGATTGAATAAGCGGAAACGGAAACGACTTGGGAAATGGAATAAGCGGAAACGGAAACGTCTTGAGGAAATGGAATAAGCGGAAACGGAAACGTCTTAAGGAAATGGAATAAGCGGAAACGGAAACGTCTTAATGAATGACGGAATAAGCGGAAACGGAAACGTCTAAAGGAGATAGAATAAACGGAAACGGAAACGTCTTAAGGAGATGGAATAAGCGGAAGGCAGAATGAGAACTCACCCATCCGTCCGCACAAGAGATCGCCTGAGATCGCATCCGTCCGTTCAATCCGCACTTTAATCCTCGTGATCCGCGCGGAAGACTGTTCAATCCGCGCGCAGCTTCAGCTCGTCCGAATTCGCGATGACGTTAATTGGATCTGAGCGACCGCTGTAGTAGGTAAAATAATTACGTCGCGAGTAGAAAAACGAACACCGATTGCGAAGTTTCTTCCATTTCTCTCCGAGCGCATACGGAGCGAACGCATCCAGCATCAGATCCCCGTGATGCACACGAGGAAGTGTCGTCAAGCGCTGATCCGGCTTCTCCGTGATGTAATCATGTCGCGAGCGCTGACTGCTTCGCGAACGCTGACGGCTTCGCGAACGCATGCAGCATCAAATCTCCTTCGCAGCTAACGCTTGAAGCGTCGCCTTTCGAGTCGAGAGCAAACCGCGTCTTTATTTCGCCGTGAAAACTCCGTCAGATTTGACGATTATCGGGAGGTGATGAGTAGGGAGCTGATGCATATCTGACAAAGATCCAGATAAACCGACATCTGACGGAGTCCAGCTGAAGTCGAGCCTAAGGCCTAGTGACGAACATCTCAAGAAGGAAAGCGAGAAAGGTCATAGTGACAACTGGGAGAAGCCATGGACTTGGACAAAGCGAATTAGCAAGTAAGCGGCTGAGAGATACTCGTCGAGGAGGACTAAGCTAGCGGAATTGTGGAATAGGAAGGGAATGTGGTAAGCGAGAGTAAGGTGACTCTGCAAACAGCGAAGCGTCTGAAGCATCTATGGGAGGTGAGGGTTCCAAAAACCACGGTTCAGGGAGGTAAAGCGAGTTACCGCTCTTGAATGCACATGATCGTACCCAACCGCTTACGGAACGAGACGTACCCACAATCAAGGCCCAGAGGGAAGGGGAGGGGAGGCGAAGGGAACGAGGGGAGGGAAGCCAAGAGTCGAGTCGCCATCCCCCCTCTGGTGCAACCCCAAGGTGGCGCAGGCCGCAGGCAGAGTCACTTTGGATGGTTGCGCTGTCGAGGCGGGGCGGGAAGCCTCGGGAATGTCCGCTGAATGGTGGGGAGGGGAGCTGCGAACTCTATTGACGACTGGAATAGGCTATTCGCCAAACGTGACAGGCCAAGTAACACCGTTCGGCGAATGGGCTATTCGCCGTTTCTCGCTGATTCTGACATCGGATGAGGGTATGGGCATGGTGGCATGGCATCGTTCGCGCCGACAATGAGGAGGGCCCCCGCCTCCCCACCCGTCCCTGCTGGCCGGAGGCGCAAGCCGGTACAAAGTGAGTCGGCAGTTCCGCTGACAGGCAAGCGGCGGGAGAAAGTCCCCCTGTGGAAGTTGGGGGAAGCGCGAGAAGTTTTGCGCCAGCGCGCGCGTGTTGCCGACATATATCCGCGTTTCGATTGTCATGTACAGAACCTGTAGCCTTCCACACATTAACATCCACATAAAGTAGTTCTCACTTCTGATGGACTTTGTAGATCCATATTTGAGTGAATTTATAGCAAAGCCCTTTCCTATCAACTGCATGCAAACAACACAACACATACAGATGTGGGGCAAGAATGGCAATTATTAAAAAATACTCAATATTTGATAGTTTGAACCTTCCAAAGCTTCTAGGACTGAGTGTGCCATGTCCTCCTGGAGTTTGATTAAACCCATACACCAGCATATGGGAAATCCACACTCTAACAGCACATTCTCAATAGCACACTGTAGCTAACAGTATAATTACACTAGATCTACTACATCTGCATTATTACTGCAAGCGGGATGGCAATCAGCGCTCAAGCTTGCTGACTAGGCTGTCGAGAGGAGGCAGCTCGTTGATAAGATCCGCCCAGTCAGGCATGCCCTGGGGGAAGATACGAGGGAGAGTGAGGGAGAGTGAGAGTGATAGTGAGAATGAGAGTGAGGGAGAGGACACCAGCGATGGTGGACAGAAGCAATAGCGACAGAGGAAACAATGCGGGGAAAGACAGGCAAGTGCGGGCGCCAAACTCACCGTGCCTGACTTGCGCACTCGGCCGTCCAGCCGCAGAACGATGAAGGCATCAGTGCCCTCCGCTACCTTCTCCGCCTTCTGCTGTGACCGCACCCATCTGACCGTGGCCACCATGTTCGTTAACAGTTTTCATGAATTTCAAGGGAGGAAGGGGGAGAGGAGGAAGGAGAGGTGGTGCACATGAGTTGGTCACTTGCATCAGTTGAAGCTTGTCAGCATGCACATGCAGACCCATACAGAATCATTGTGCACATGCACATGCACAAGAGGCTGCGTCTATGTGCACATACAGAATCATTGTGTACTTTAACTCTCACCAATACCACTCCCTCCTGTCACCCCCAACTCACTGGATTCCCTGCCTCCCCACCATTTACTGGCCCCTCTGCCTTCCCCATGCACTGTCCCCCATGTCCTCAACAACTTTCCATTCCCATTCCCCTGCCCCACACCCTTCTCCCCCCCCCACCGCACTCACTGGTCCCACTCCCCCGGCGACACCACTTCAGCCTTGAGTCGTCGGTCCGCCTCCGCCACTCTCTTTGCCGCCGCCTCCCTCGCCTTCTCCTCAAACTCCTCCTGCCGTTGAGTGGCAAGGAGCAAGCACACGGGTGGTCGGGTGGACCACGGTGAGTGGCAAGGAACAAAGAACCGACTGGGAAACACTTTCAGAAGCCTGAGAAAGGGAGCTGCATGGGAATAGGAAATAACTGGACGTAGCAGAGAGTGCAGCAGCCAGCTAAGCTCAAATTGAACCCTTAGAGAGGACATATGCAGCACTGAAGAAGCTGACTGCAGATTCAAGGAGACAGCACACCAACAAAGGACCAGTATAGCAGTTGCTGCTGCTGTTGCTGCAGCTGCATCTCACCAGCGACTCCAGAGTGGCAGCAGGCTTCTTCACGGCAGCAAAGCCCTTCTTCTTGCTCTCTGCCAGCACCCCTCCGCCCTTGCTCTGCAGCACGGGCACCAGCAGCACCCCCCGCTCCTGCAGCTGCTTGCGGTACCCCTCTGCACGCTTCATTGCCTGCTGCACCGCCTCCTTTCGCCCCGACAGAATCACCTGCACGCACACAGCACGATCAAGAATTCTCATAAGTGACTCTCCTCCGCGCGCTTCATCGCCTGCTCCGCGCGCACCCCGATAGAATCACCTGCACGCACACAGCACAGCAGGACAGGGCAGAACTGCAGCTCCAGTCCCCACGCTGGGACTGCAGCTCCAGTCCCCACGCTGGGACTGCAGCTCCAGTCCCCAAGCTGGGACTGCAGCTCCAGTCCCCACGCTGGGACTGCAGCTCCAGTCCCCACACTGGGACTGCAGCTCCAGTCCCCACGCTGGGACTGCAGCTCCAGTCCCCACACTGGGACTGCAGCTCCAGTCCCCAAGCTGGGACTGCAGCTCCAGTCCCCACGCTGGGACTGCAGCTCCAGTCCCCAAGCTGGGACTGCAGCTCCAGTCCCCACGCTGGGACTGCAGCTCCAGTCCCCACGCTGGGACTGCAGCTCCAGTCCCCACGCTGGGACTGCAGCTCCAGTCCCCAAGCTGGGACTGCAGCTCCAGTCCCCACGCTGGGACTGCAGCTCCAGTCCCCACGCTGGGACTGCAGCTCCAGTCCCCACGCTGGGACTGCAGCTCCAGTCCCCACGCTGGGACTGCAGCTCCAGTCCCCGAGCTGGTTCCTCACTAGGCGCATGGTTCCCCTGAGCTGCACCAGCTCCACCACCTTGCTCGACTGCAGGCGGAGAGGGAAGCGGAGGAGCCACTCACCTTGCAACTGACGCATCTGGTTTCCCTTTTGAGGCGCCTCAAAAGCTGCCTTTTAGACACACTCACCAGCCGTGTGGTTCTCCTCAGCTCAGCTGCACCAGCTCCACCACCTTGGCCGACTGCAGCCTGAGGGGCAGGCGAGAGGAGCAACTCTTATTCACCCCCACTCAAGCACCTTGGTATCCTTTCCTCTCGTTCACTCACCGACTGCGACTCATTGCCCGACTGCAGCCTGAGGGGCACGCAGAGGAGCCTGAACACCCCCACCCAAGCAACCGCTTCCCTTCTCTCACTCACCGGGCGCGTTGTTCCTCTGAGCTGCACCAGCTCCACCACCTTGCCCGACTGCAACCGGAGAGGCAGGCGGGAGAGCGTCTCGTCACGTGACACGCGTCCCATCTGCTCCTCCTCACGCCGCTGCTCCCATAGGTACAGCCCCACCATCGCCGCCCCGCCTGGAGGTGAAGGGGGGTGAAGGGGGGAGACGGCAGGCAGGAGATCATCAGGGAAAGGAGGGAGAGAAGTTAACGCAGATAAGCCAGCATGGAAAAAGCTCCATGAAAACACTCAGCTCACTCCCATCCTCTCTGCCCTCTTCCTTCATCTGCAAGACTGCAACCTCCATTATCACTCTTCCACACACCCCATTCTCAACGAATCTGCACCTCGCTGCACCGCTCTTCATCGCACATCACCCTCACCTCCCAGATCAATGGCCAGGTTGCCACCAGTGGTGAGCAGATCCGGGGCATCCACCCCTCCTTGGACGGCCAGGATGAACCGCGGGATGGTGATGACGGTGGCGATGCCAGCAGCCATGCCCAGCGCCACGTACAGGAACCTCCTCACGCCTCTGAACGGCGCCTGCACCTCTGCTATCAACTTCAAGTCCCGCCGAAACTTGCCGCCCACTTCCTCGCCGCCCTTCCTTGCCTGGAACGGGAGACGGGGAAGGGGAGCAGGAAGGAAGGCAGAGTTTGCAATGTGCTGCACATCAGCTCTCCTCCTCCAAACCTTCTCCCACCTGCAGTCCAGATCTATCTCAGTCCAGTGCTCTTTCAGTCCAGTTGTCGCTTCTTCTCCCCTTTCTCCTTCCCTCCCCCTCCATGGTTCATGCAGGCATCAACAGACCCTAATATGGCTATGCTCCCGGCCTTACACTCTCTCTCCAATTTCCCTGTGCGCCCTACAGTGCCACCATATCTCACCTCCTCTCCAATTTCCCTGTGGCCCTCACCTCCTCTTGAAGAGCTCTAAATTCAGGCATGGCGCGGAACGCCGCCATGTCCGGGTCGCTGAGAATCACGCTGAACTGCAGCCCGTACCGCAGAGCGTCGCGCAGCGCCTCCTGCGCCTGCGCGCCCTCCTCCCTGCACGCGCCACGTCAACCGAGCGACGTCAGATCACGGTATTCGACTGAATTGCCTGGAAAACACGCACTGGAATTCCAATATTCTGGCCGTGTGCGAAATCCCAGTATAACTAGCTCCCAGCGTTCTATTCACTTGCGGTTTTTACGTTATATGACCCTCGCGCTACCTGAAAGCATGGCAGCACGCCTTATTGTAGAGCGCCGCCTGCGCCTCTTCCTCAGACGGTTTCATCTCGAGAGCCATCTCGAACCGCCTCAGCGCGTCGCGAACCCGCCCTTTCTTGTACAGCTCCAGCCCCTGATTCACCGCCTGCTCCGCGCTTCGCGGGACCACCATATCCGGGGCCGTCCCCGCCGCAACCGGCGCTGCTCCATCTCCCCCGTTGCTGGCTTTCGCCCTGACGCTCGGAACCACACCTCGTTTTTTACTGTGAATACCTTGTTTATCATGGCTGCCGGGAAGCCTTAGCCACGCGTGCTTTTGCAGTGCACGGGACGATCTGCGAGTGGGTAGCAGAGCGGGAATGTGGGAGCTGCCGTACGATGTGGTGCTCTGGTAGGCGCTCAGTTGTGCACTGACCGTCTGTGGCAAGTGGCTGACGTGGCAGATGGATGCCATGTCAGTCAGGCGCGACAGTTTCTCAACCTGTGTGGAAGAAACCGACCTCACAGCTGATGATTATCAACGAAAGCCGGTAAGACGGAAGTTAGCCAGTCGGAGGCTAGCTTGCAATGCTTAGAGAACTGGGATTTGGAGAAGGGGGAACATGTTCTAGAAGAGGGTCAAATGGTTGAAATGAACTGAAACCTAGGTGGGGCGAAATTGTTGACCTTGGGAATTCCAGCCGAAGCCACGAGGGATGAACGGCCACGATGCGATTGTTCCGGATTGTGGAACCAGCCTTATCCGAAAGATATGAATTGCGAAAACTACCCTCTGTTATTGAACGAGGCCAAATGAAGATATTCTAACCTAAACGATCCTGATACAAATAAATACAAAAAAATCATGAGACCACCAAATCTTTCTTGATTCTCAAAACTCTTAAACCTGGATCCAACACCACATACATAAACCTGGATCATAACATCTCATTGTTATCTCCGGCTAGGCTTCTCCAACACGCAATTTAGGTACACATGCTCACCCTCCCTCTCAGCTGTATCAGTTTTCGGCGTCAGGTTCCAATACTTTTTACCATACCCAAACTGCTCAATCACCCCAATGTACAGCGGCATCTCCCACACCGGCGCATAGAACAGCTCAAACCACCAGATCCCACCAGGCCTTAGAATCCGGTCCCACTCGAACAGAAGCTCCTCAAATTCTGGGATGGAGAAATACTTGATACTGTTCACCGTGTGAATCAAATCCAGCGTGTTGTCAAAGAACGGCTGGCGGGCCTTGTGCGGCACGTGCAGCGGCACCAGACCTCTCTGCGCAATAGTCTCCATATAAGGCAACCCCATTTCCACTTCTTGCACCGTCTCCGTGTTCATAGCCGTGGTCAATATTGTCACATTGTACAGCGCAAGCGCCGCTGCAAAGCTGCCTGTACCCCCACCGGCATCCAAGCCAATCCTGATCGACCCTGGCGGCTTCAGCTTCATCACCTCTGCAAGAGTCACCGCCCCGCGATAGTTATTCTTCCACCGCTTCGCCTCCAGTGTGAGGTTAAAGCAGTCGCGGCAATCCCCAAGCAGCCGCGAGTTAATGCATCCGTATGACTTGCAGCGGTGCAGGTCCCACCGCACGTTCGCATCCAGCAGGGCACGCGGGTCGAACACAGACTGGGGGAAGGGGATGCTCGGCTCCTGGTAGTCCGGGGGCGCCGCGGCAAAGCAGCGGCGGCGCGGCAGGCATAAGCAGTTGCGGACAAAGATGAGGTGCTGGACGAAGTACCAGTCATCTGGACAGGGTTTCTTCGGGGAGTAGTTCAGGTATTTCAGGAGCTCCTCATCTGTCGCACTGCATGACGTGGCACGAATCTGGGTGGCTGAAAGCTGCCCGCTGCTGTACCCGCCACCAATGGCGCTCTCCCGCGCTTGCTCAGCTGCCCGGCCGCACTCTTCGATTGCTTTCCGGGCAGCCTGAAGAGCATCATCACTAGAGACGGTATCATTACAATCTGTGGTGTTCCTTGAGTAATGCGCCACTGCAGCTGCCAGCCTCTCTCTCTCCTGCTGCAGCCTCTCGTTCAGAATCTGCTGCTGCTCGCACTGAGTCTGCAGCGCTGCCAGCATCTCACTCTCACTCATTGCAACCACCACAGCAGGCCCAGCACCACCAGACCCGGTCACTGCACCGGTCGTTGCCGCATCACCAGTTGTTGCAGCAGCACTGTTTGTCCCGGCCTCCCCTCCCATCCCTGCCTCTCCACCAGCCTGCCCTAGACTCTCTCTGCACTCTTGCAAAGATGCCTCGCATTTCGCCAACTCAGCTGCAGCGGCAGCGTCGGAAACAGAGCCACTGAGTTCGCCTCCTCCCCCCCCTCCTCCCCTGGTGTTGTTGCTGACGTCAGCGAAGGTTTTGAGATCCTCGGCTTTGATTGGCCCCGAGTGATTCGCTTTAAGCCGCGCAATTTCGTCCATAAGCGTGCGCACCTCGTCGCGAAAGAGCTGGCGCTTCGCGGTGCGCAGCTGCTGCTTCTCGATCTCCGCGCGCAGCTTCCCCAGCACCTCCTCCGCGCTCTCCCCCGGCCGCGGCTGCGCTGCCTGCTGCTGGTACCGCGGGAGCAACAGGGACGCCGCTGAGTGCGCTGCGACGTGCGCGTCGGTGGCGGTGTAACGGAAATTGTAACCAATCTCCACGGAGAGGAAGGCGAAGCAAGCGAAGAGCGCGAAGATGAGGAGCGAGCGAAGGTTCGTATGCGACACGAGGCTTGACAGTGCCGACGCCATGATAAGCTGAAATGTCGCGACAAGCAGATGCCTTTATACCAGGAACTTCGAGATCATCGTGTGACGCTCAAAGAATTACTCATGCTCGTCCTAACAAGCAAAAAGTTAGCATGGCAAGTGGAGCTGTTAGGTGCGCGGGGAAGGTGAGTTCTGTCTGACCTAAATTGACAAGCCACCACAAACACAAGTGGAGTATCGCACACACGCAGGTGGATGTTGGAGCAACAAAAACAGGTGAGATAATCCCACTGAGTAGTATGTGGCATTGCTGCAGCCTTTCAGGGGACGTTGCGCAGGGCGCAGCGTTGCTTGCCTGAACCTGAGTGGTCTCGGGTGCGGACTTCAAATCCGTAGCGGCTTGACGGCCGAGCTGTTCGATTCAGCCTGGCGAGCGAAGAAAGTCGTGAAATCTTTGGAATACATTTCAATTTGGTTGTATAGTCGAGCACATTGCATACACGACGTTCTCGATGCTTCGCTTTACTGTCCATGATACAGTCAGGCTTCGGGTTTTGCAGGACGTGCGTGAGTCTACCAGACCAACTCACGCCCTAATTCCTCGTGCGTAATTCCATTTCCCTCTCCTCTACATCCACCTCAGCTATAGGAGGCACCTTCACGTTCTGGGTTTCAGCCTACATCCTGATTTGTTCGGGTCGTGACGCTGGTGCTAGTGAACGTGTTACTGCGTTCGTTTCTTAACTTCCCATATTAAGTGACTCGTCGCACCGCAGCCATGGGCGACCGCACGGTCCACGTCGGCAATCTCGAGACGTTCGTGAACGAGAGCACGCTCTACCTGCTCTTTTCGCAGTTCGGCACTGTCACCAACGTTCGCCTCGCTGGGTAAGGCACGGTGCTTTTTTATTTGCTTTGCGTTTCCCGGCGCTTACAGCAGTCAGGCATCAGATCTACAGACTGGATCTGCTACCTTGGTTTATGAGTATTCTACCCAGGGCTCGTTGCACGTGTCTGTTGTCCTGATTTTTTCTTGCTCGTTTTTCCTCAAAGTCTTACAAGTATTAAGTACTTTTATTCTTTCTGACTTTTCGCAGTGACCCTAAGATGCAAACGCGGTACGCGTTTGTAGAGTTCAACGATTCCGTTATGGCGCATGCAGCGTGCTTGCTCGACGGTCTGCAGGTCGGCTCGCGCAATCTCCGCGTCTCGCTCTCCAAGCCATACGCCGGGGTACGCATTGCGCTTCTCTTCTGTTCGTCTCCTGGTCGTTCCGTTCGGTCTCGCGTTCATCGTGAACCCTGCGTACTCTCAATCGCAGGATGAAGAATGACAGTCAGCAATGCTAGTTAGGGTTTCGTAGTGTTCGCACTCAAGCCCAGGTCTTATGGCCAAACCTTGTTTCTGTTTCAAGATCGGTCTTTGCTTCCGTTGTTCGTGTGCCTGGGGATGACAGAAAGGAGCGGCGTCAGCAGCGGTACATAACCCCTTAGCTGCGCTGATGGGCGGCGCGGGACTGGCAGCGACGCCCGCCGTGACCGCAGCCCCTCGGAAGCGGTCCACCGTGGAGGATCAGGAGCGCATTTCGCGGACCATCCACGTCCGCAATGTCGACATCCAGGTCAGCTGGAGTTACAACCATCATTTCAATCCGAAATTTTTCTGGCGCGTATTTGTGCAACGTAGCCTGGTGGATGTTCCTATTTCTCGTCGTTTTTTTTTTTTTTTTTTTTTTTTTTTTTTTTTAAGCCTTTTACAACATCAGCATGTATCTTCTTCTCACCGTTTCCCCTCCCCGACGTCGTGTTCCGCTCTCAGATCACGGAGGCGATGCTGGTGGAGTATTTCGGCGTGTGCGGGACCGTGACGGCCGCGCGCACGGCGGGCACGAACAACCCGCGCACGGCGTGGATCGAGTTCGCCGCGCAGCAGTCCGCGCTCGCCGCGCTCTCGCTGGACGGCCAAGTCCTCGCCGGGCAGACCTTGAGGTAGTTTCGGGCAGACCGTAATGCTATTTCGAGCGCACGTTGACGCTAGAGTAGTCGCTTTAGCCTGCAGTCACACAAGCATGGCGGTTTAACTTGTGTTGCCCTGCCCCGCTGCACATCACCCCTCAACCCTCCCACCCTGTGTGTCTCTCCCTTCCGCCTCTCTCTTTCCGCGTGCTAACAGAATCTCCCCCAGCAAGTCCGCCATTCAGACCAACGCGCTCTCGCAGCGCAACGCGCCGGCGCCGGCGCTGCCGACCATGACGCCCGCCATGATGATGGCCGCCGTCGCCGCGCCGCAGAACATCGTCAAAGTGCAGGGCATCCCCGCTAAGGTGTGCTTCGCTGTCCCGCTTACCAGCTACATTCTGCGGTTACTGTTCATTGCTTATATTCGCACGTTTCTTCTCTCGGCGCATCTCCCTTCCCCCTCCACGCATCTCCCCCCTCCGCGCATCTCCCCCCTCCGCGCATCTACCCCGTCCGCGCATCTCCCCTCTCCGAGCATCACCCCCCTCCGAGCATCGCCCCCCTCCGAGCATCGCCCCCCTCCCCGCACTTCTCAGCTCCGCGCCTCACCTGCTCTCTACTCCCGCCCCTTGCGTCCCGACGCCCATCTTTCCCGCCCGACCCTCCCTCCCGCCCTCCCTCCCGCCCTACCCTCCCACCCTACCCTCTCGCCCTGCCCTTCTCGCCCCTCCCGAAGCCCACCCACCCCGTGGTTCCCCCGTTGCGTGTGCGTGCTGCCGTGTGCCGCCCAGGCATCGGAAGCGGACGTGCGCACTCTCGTAGAGGCGCGCTGCGGCCACGTGCGCTCGCTGATCATCGTGCCCGTGCCAGGCCCGCCGCCTGAGGAGCCGGGCAAGAAGGGCGAGAAGGGCGAGGAGGGGGCCGAGGGCGAAGAGGGCTACAAGGGCCCGACGAAAATGGCGACGGTGGAGGTGGAGGATGCAGAGGCGGTGGCGAAGGCGCTGGAGCTAAACGGCACCAAGTTCATGGGCGCTACCATCTCGTACGTCCTGTCCTGCTGCCCCTCCGCCCCCCGGACTTGCCGTTTTGGCTTTGTTGCTGCTGTGCTGTTTGTTACCCTTTCCCTCTTCCCCCCTTTATCTCCCATTCTCCCCTCCCCTCCCCTCCCTTCCCCTTTTCTCTCCTTCAACCCTTGTGCCCTTTCCCCCTTACCCTCCTCTCCTCTTTTTGCCCTGCTCGTCCCTCCCGCCCACGTCCTTCCCTGCCCTTTTCCGCCATCCGCACTTGTATCCCGTATTTCATCCTCCCTTGCAGCGTTGTACTCGCCATGGCACCAGCCTCTTCATTCTTCCTTGCAGCAGATTCATAACCCAATTTTTTCCTGCATCCAAGTCCCGTACCCTCCCCTTGATTCTTAACTCACCCCCTTTTCTTGGCTCTTGCGCTGCTGTGCTGCTTCCGCTGCCTCTGCTCCAACACCTGCTGCCATCCTGCCGGCTTGCATTGCCGCCGCCACTGCCGCCTCTGCTGCTGCTGCCTGCTGCTGCGGCTACTGGTGTGGGCGGCTGCTGCTGCTACCGCTGGTGGTGCTGCTGCTACCGCTGGTGGTGCTGCTGCTACCGCTGGTGGTGCTGCTGGGTGGTGTGCTGGTGAGCAGGGTTGAGAAGGTTGAACCCCTCCCGCCCGCCCCCGTGCCCGCCCCTTCGTCCATCCCTCCTGCAGCCTTCGCCATTCCCGGCCTCGACCCCTCTCTCCTCGACCCCTCCCTTCTCTCCGATCCCACCTTCCTAGCCGCTGCCACTGCGGCAGGTCTCCCTACCACCGCCCTGCCTCCCCCGCCCCCTTTACCTCCCAACACGCAACCCACCATCGTGGCATCTGAGACTGGCACTGATGGCACCGCCACAGGCACAGACGCCACAGCAGCAGCTGCAGCATCGGCAGACGACGACCGGAAAGACTCTCACGGTGGGTTGCCGCATCCCCATTCCCATGGATTGGCTTGCCCGTGTCTGCACGGCAGACAGTTGTGTTGTAGTCACTTCATCTTGACTTGTGATGTGTGGTACATTGGCTATATGGGTTGTTAATCTACCTCTTCATGTGTGGTGTGGTGTGGTATGGTGTGGTGATGCAGGGTCGCACAAGCGCTCGGCAGATGACACTGAGGGGGGAGAGAAGCGCGCACGCCATGACTGACAGGCCATGCAAACACCAATTGGGTTCACTTGTTGGCCTCGAAACCGAACCTTTCTTTGCCAACACACTGTGGCTAGTACTTTCTAGGCTATTTCTGCCATATTTAGTCTACACCCTGGGTTAGGTGGCAACCACCTACAGATTAGCTTCCAATGGTGGTCTGGTTCTAGCATTTCAGAACTCCTTGGGTTGGGTGTAGTGTGGAAGTAAGCTTGTGGGATTCAAATCTCAACACATCAGGTGTGGAAATTGATGTGAAGGTTCATTGTAACCCGATTCAGAAACTGCGTTAGGTGCCATATTTACGTCTTAGCAGTGTCATGACTCATGGCTCTGTCTTGCATACCCAATCTTGGGTGCTACAATGGGCAGGCTGCTGGTGGGGTAACATGACTGGCTAAAAAATGGTTTTGGCAAACCCAAGCTCACACAATGGTGGAGGTTAGAACGCAGAAGATTTGCCATTAGAAGAGCACCTAACACACCAGCACGGATCTTGCCTCCAAAGACCTCCAATCACCTCACTTCTGTCTCAACCACGAATCATCCCCTCCAGCAGCAAACTCTGGCGCTTTAGGTGGCGGATTAGCAGCGAACACATCATGCTTCTCCCCTCCACTCACCCCGCCACTGCTGCTGCTGCTGCTGCTGCTTCCACCTTGAGCGCCCTTGTCCCCGCCTGCACCCCCCCAAGAGAACCACCCTCCCCAGCCTGACGAAGTGCCACCTTCTGACGCTACCGGACCGGTCTGTACCGCCGCCGAGCCAGATCCAGAGCTGAGTTCTACGTTCGGCAACGTCACAGCGCCACCAGCGCCGGGGCTGACTAGCTCAGGTTGGGTAGACAGGGTAGGGGCGGCGGCAGCGGGAAGAGCGGCGGGTTGGACAACCACCGGCATGCTCATGGGCTGCTCGATCTGCGCGGGGGGAGGCTCGTCGCGCGGGGGAGGCGGAAGCGCGGAAGTCATGCGGTTGAGCATGATCCCCGCGCCCTCGATCAGCCCCAGCAGCACTCCGCCGAACACGGCGGACTGCAGCGCGGATCGCGGCCCCGCGCGCAACTGGAGGAAGCCGCCGGTGAGGAAACCCGCGGCGATGGAGTTCCAGGGGTCCTCCTTTTGGCGGAGATACACTAGCGAGCAGTCGAACGTTGAGAACAGCCCGCCCCACACTGCGAAGCTTCCGCCGATGCGCGGCGCGTTGATCCGCACGGCCTGCGTTCCGCCGATGAGGCGCTCCCCGCGCGGAGAGTTCTTCGCCCCGCGGATGAAATGCCACGCGGCGCCGCCCACCGCGCCCATGCTGAACGCGCCGCCTACGTCATCGAGGATGCGATCCGGGCACGGCTCGCGGCCGTACTCCCCCGCCATGTGCTTCTAACGAGCTGTGTGAAAACTGCTTACAGAAAGGCACGCGAGGACGTCGCGATCGGATGAGTAAACGCAAAGCGGCAGATTCGGAGTTTGCGACTGGTTCTCCGCGGTTTCTCGTTACGATCGAGGCGGATCTGAAGAAGGGGGAGGGTACGCGCGATAAGCGATGGCTCGTAATGAAGTGACGGCACGGGGCGGGATATAGGCGGGGAGATGGAGATGTAGGTGGAAGAACGATCGTGAAACAGAGGCGACTGTGGAAAAAACTACCTGTCTTCGCAGTGAAGGCCGGGGGGACGTGTCGGGTGTGTTAGATGCTAGCTGTAAATTCTCGTCTAGAGGTTTGTGGGCTTGGGGTGGGGGCAAGGAATGGAGCGGAGGTAGGGGGAAGAAGGCACGAGAGCTGGCAGGCACACTGGAAACCGAGTTTGCCTATATCGGGTTCAGCTTCACTGGTCTGGTTGGTTGCCGTGAACTTGGAGCGGATGTGGCGTGTGCGCCGATTCCCGCTGTATCGCGGACACCACGTCAGTCAAGCATCTCATAAGAAACGTGAGAAAAATACACCAACTAAGAAGACGGCTTGCATCAATTAACAGCTCAATTGAAGTCATAGGAATATCTTATTATTCGTTATTAGTCATTCGCCATTCGTGACTCGGCGAACACGCCGAATGACGAATGACGAATGACAATGACGAAAAGCGAATGGCAAATGACGTTTGACTAATAACGAATGGCGAATGACGAATAACGAATAGCAATGACGAATGACGAATGGCAATGCGAATCGTGAATGATGAATACGAATGACGAATAACGAATGGCGAATACCGAATGGCGAATGGCAATAACGTATGACAAATGGCAATGACGAATAACAATGATCCGCACATGTGCAGGAAGTGCAGCGGGCGCAATTCATTCGCGAGCATCGATGACCGATGATGCTCGCAACCCTCCCACGCCCTTGCTGGCTTGGGTTTAGGCCCAGACAAGTGTAGCCACGTGACCCGGCGGAAGAATAACGCGATGGAAAGCGGGAGAATGGGGCGGGGTGATGGAAAGCGGGAGAATGGGGCGAGGTTATGGAAAGAGGGAGAATGGGGCGGGGTGATGGAAAGAGGGAGAATGTGGCGGGGTGATGGAAAGAGGGAGAATGGGGCGGGATGGTGGAAAGAGGGAGAATGGGGCAGGGTGATGGAAAGAGGGAGAATGGGGCGGGGTGATGGAAAGCAGGAGAATGGGGCAGGATGATGGAAAGCGGGAGAATGGGGCGGGGTGATGGAAAGAGGGAGAATGAGGCGAGGTGATAAAAGGAGGGAGAATGGGGCGGGGTGATGGAAAGCGGGAGAATGGGGCGGGGTGATGGAATGCGGGAGAATGGTGCAAGGTGATGGAAGTAGGGAGAATGGGGCGGGGTGATGGAAAGCGGGCGAATGGGGCGGGGTGATGGAAAGCGCGAGAATGGGGCGGGGTGATGGAAGGAGGAAGAATGGGGCGGGGTGATGGAAGGAGGGAGAATGGGGCAGGGTGATGGAAAGCGGGAGAATGGGGTGGGGTGATGGAAAGCGGGAGAATGGGGTGGGGTGATGGAAAGCGGGAGAATGGGGTGGGGTGATCGAAAGCGGGAGAATGGGACGGGGTGATGGAAAGCGGGAGAATGGGGCCGGGTGATGGAATGAGGGAGAACGGGGCAGGGCTTATGGAAAGAGGTAGAATGGGACGGGATGATGGATAGCGGGAGAATGGGACGGGGTGATGGAAAGCGGGAGAATGGGGGAGGGTGATGGAAAGAGGGAGAATGGGGCGGGGTGAAAGAAAGCGGGAGAATGGGGCGGGGTGATGGAAAGCGGGAGAATGGGGCGAGGAGATCGAAAGCGGAAGAATCGGGCGGGGTGATGGAAAGCAGGAGAATGGGGCGGGCTGCTGGAAAGCGGGAGAATGGGGCGGGGTGCTAGAAAGCGGAAGAATGGGGCGGGTTGATGGAAAGCGGGAGAATGGGGCGGGGTGATGGAAAGCGGGAGAATGGGGCGGGGTGATGGAAAGCGGGAGAATGGGGCGGGGTTGTGGAAAGAGGGAGAATGGGGCGGGGTGATGGAAAGAGGGAGAATAGGGCAGGGTGATGGAAAGAGGGAGAATGGGGCGGGCTGCTGGGAAGCGGGAGAATGGGGCGGGGTGATGGAAAGCGGGAGAATGGGGCGGGGTGCTAGAAAGCGGAAGAATGGGGCGGGTTGATGGAAAGCAGGAGAATGGGGCGGGGTGATGGAAAGCGGGAGAATGGGGCGGGGTGATGGAAAGCGGGAGAATGGGGCGGGGTTGTGGAAAGAGGGAGAATGGGGCGGGGTGATGGAAAGAGGGAGAATGGGGCAGGGTGATGGAAAGAGGGAGAATGGGGCGGGGTGATGGAAAACGGAAGAATGGGGCGGGGTGATGGAAAGAGGGAAAATGGGGCGGGGTGATGGAAAGAGGGAGAATGGGGCGGGGTGATGGAAAGCGGGGGAATCAGGCGGGGTGATGGAAAGCGGGAGAATCAGGCGGGGTGCTGGAAAGCGGGAGAATAGGGCGGGGTGATGGAAAGTGGGAGATTGGGGCGGGGTGATAGAAAGAGGGAGAATGCGGCGGGGTGCTGGAAAACGGGAGAATGGGGCGAGGTGATGGAAGGCGGGAGAATTGAGCGGGGTGATGGAATGCGGGAGAATGGGGCGGGGTGCTGGAAATCGGGAGAATGGGGCGGGGTGATGGAAAGCGCGAGAATGGGGCGGGGTGCTGGAAAGCGGGAGAATGGGGCGGGGTGATGGAAAGCGGGAGAATGGGGCGGGGTCATGGAAAGAGGGAGAATTGGGCGGGGTGATGGAAAGAGGGAGAATGGGGCGGGGTGATGGAAAGAGGGAGAATAGGGTGGGGTGATGGAAAACGGAAGAATGTGGCGGGGTGATGGAAAGAGGGAGAATGGGGCGGGGTGATGGAAAGAGGGAGAATGGGCCGGGGTGAAGTAAAGCGGGAGAATGGGGCGAGGTGATGGAAAGAGGGAGAATGGGGCGGGTGATGGAAAGTGGGAGAATGGGGCGGGGTTATGGAAAGAAGGAGAATGGGGCGGGGTGATGGAAAGAGGGAGAATGTGGCAGGGTGATGGAAAGAGGGAGAATGGGGCGGGGTGATGGAAAGAGGGAGAATGGGGCGGGGTGATGGAAAGAGGGAGAATGGGGCGGAGTGATGGAAAGCGGGAGAATGGGGGGGGGTGATGGAAAGCGGAAGAATGGGGCGGGGTTATGGAAAGAGGGAGAATGGGGCGGGGTGATGTAAAGAGGAAGAATGGGGCAGGGTGATGGAAAGAGGGAGAATGGAGCGGGGTGATGGAAAGCGGAAGAATGAGGCGGGGTGATGGAAAGAGGGAGAATGGGGCGGGGTGATGGAAAGAGGGAGAATGGGGCGGGGTGATGGAAAGAGGGAGAATGAGGCGGGGTGATGGAAAGCGGGAGAGTGGGGCGGGGTGATGGAAAGCGGGAGAATGGGGCGGGGTGATGGAAAGCGGGAGAATCGGGCGGGGTGATGGAAAGCGGGAGAATGGGGCGGGGTGATGGAAAGTGGGAGAATGGGGCGGGGTGATGGAAAGCGGGAGAATGGGGCGGGGTGCTGGAAAGCGGGAGAATGGGGCGGGGTGATGGAAAGCGGGAGAATCAGGCGGGGTGATAGAAAGCAGGAGAATCAGGCGGGGAGCTGGAAAGCAGGAGAATGGGGCGGGGTGATGGAAAGCGGGAGAATGGGGCGGGGTGATGGAAAGTGGGAGAATGGGGCGGGGTGCTGGAAAGCGGGAGAATGGGGCGGGGTGATGGAAAGCGGGAGAATCGGGCGGGGTGATGGAATGCTGGAGAATGGGGCGGGGTGACGGAAAGCGGGAGAATGCGGCGGTGTTATGGAAAGAGGGAGAATGGGGCGGGGTGATGGAAAGAGGGAAAATGGGGCGGGGTGATGGAAAGCGGGAGAATGGGGCGGGGTGATGGAAAGAGGGAGAATGGGGCAGGGTGATGGAAAGAGGGAGAATGAGCCGGGGTGATGGAAAGCGGGAGAATGGGGCGGGGTGATGGAAAGAGGGAGAATGGGGCAGGGTGATGGAAAGAGGGAGAATGAGCCGGGGTGATGGAAAGCGGGAGAATGGGGCGGGGCGATGGAAAGCGGGAGAATGGGGAGGGGTGATGGAAAGCGGGAGAATGGGGAGGGTGATGGAAAGCGAAAGAATGGGGCGGGGTGATGGAAAGAGGGAGAATGGGGCGGGGTGATGGAAAACGGGAGAATGGAGCGGGGTGATGGAAAGCAGGAGAATGGGGAGGGGTGATGGAAAGCGGAAGAATGGGGCGCGGTGATGGAAAGAAGGAGAATGGGGCGGGGTGCTGGAAAGCGGGAGAATGGGGAGGGGTGATGGAAAATAAACAGGTCAGCCCCGCAAACCCTAAGTGGGTGATGGAAAGTAAACAGTCTGTTTCTCACATACACAATTCGCCAGGTGTCTAGGGTTGATCCGTTCCCAAACCGCATCCAATGTGAGAAACAGACTGTTTATTTTCCATCACCCCGCCCCATTCTCCCGCTTTCCATCACCCCACCCCATTCTCCCGCTTTCCATCACCCCGGCTCATTCTCCCTCTTTCCATCCCCCTGCCCCATTCTCCCTCTTTCCATCACCCCGCCCCATTCTCCCGCTTTCCATCACCCCGCCCCATTCTCCCGCTTTCCATCACCCCGCCCCATTCTCCCGCTTTCCATCACCAAGCCCCATTCTTCCGCTTTCCATCACCCCGCCCCATTCTCCCGCTTTCCATCACCCCGCCCCATTCTCCCTCCTTCCATCACCCCGCCCCATTCTCCCTCTTTCCATCACCCCACCCCATTCTCCCTCCTTCCATCACCCCGCCCCTTTCTCCCTCCTTCCATCACCCCGCCCCTTTCTCCCTCCTTCCATCACCCCGCCCCATTCTCCCGCTTTCCATCACCCCGCCCCATTCTCCCTCCTTCCATCACCCCGCCCCATTCTCCCGATTTACAGCACCCCGCCCCATTCTCCCTCCTTCCATCACCCCGCCCCATTCTCCCACCTTCCATCACCCCGCCCCTTTCTCCCGCTTTCCATCACCCCTCCCCATTCTCTTGCCTTCCATCACCCCGCCCCATTCTCCCGCTTTCCATCACCCCGCCCCATTCTCCCTCTTTCCATCACCCCGCCCCATTCTCCCGCTTTCCATCACCCTCCCCATTCTCCCGCTTTCCATCACCCCGCCCCATTCTCCCGCTTTCCATCACCCCGCCCCATTCTCCCGCTTTCCATCACCCCGCCCCATTCTCCCTCTTTCCATCACCCTGCCCCATTCTCTCTCTTTCCATAACCCCGCCCCATTCTCCCGCTTTCCATCACCCCGCCCCATTCTCCCGCTTTCCATCACCCCGCCCCATTCTCCCGCTTTCCATCACCCTGCCCCATTCTCCCGCTTTCCACCACCCCGCCCCATTCTCCCGCTTTCCATCACCCCGCCCCATTCTCCCGCTTTCCATCTCCCCGCCCCATTCTCTCGCTTTCCATCACCCCGCCCCATTCTCCCGCTTTCCATCACCCCACCCCATTCTCCCGCTTTCCATCACCCCAGCTCATTCTCCCTCTTTCCATCACCCTGCCCCATTCTCCCTCTTTCCATCACCCCGCCCCATTCTCCCGCTTTCCATCACCCCGCCCCATTCTCCCGCTTTCCATCACCCCGCCCCATTCTCCCTCCTTCCATCACCCCGGCCCATTCTCCCTCCTTCCATCACCCTGCCCCATTCTCCCGCTTTCCATCACCCCGCCCCATTCTCCCGCTTTCCATCACCCCGCCCCATTCTCCCGCTTTCCATCACCCCGCCCCATTCTCCCTCTTTCCATCACCCCGCCCCATTCTCTCTCTTTCCATAACCCCGCCCCATTCTCCCGCTTTCCATCACCCCGCCCCATTCTCCCGCTTTCCATCACCCCGCCCCATTCTCCCTCTTTCCATCACCCCGCCCCATTCTCCCTCTTTCCATAACCCCGCCCCATTCTCCCGCTTTCCATCACCCCGCCCCATTCTCCCGCATTCCATCACCCTGCCCCATTCTCCCGCTTTCCATCACCCCGCCCCATTTTCCCGCTTTCCATCACCCCGCCCCATTCTCCCGCTTTCCACCACCCCGCCCCATTCTCCCGCTTTCCATCACCCCGCCCCATTCTCCCGCTTTCCATCACCCCGCCCCATTCTCCCGCTTTCCAGCTCCCCGCCTGATTCTCCCGCTTTCCATCACCCCGCCCCATTCTCCCACTTTCCATCAACCCGCCCCATTCTCCCGCTTTCCATCACCCCGCCCCAGTCTCCCGCTTTCCAGCACCCCGCCCCATTCTCCCTCTTTCCATCAACCCGCCCCATTCTCTCGCTTTCCATCACCCCGCCCCATTCTCCCTCTTTCCATAAACCCGCCCCATTCTCCCGCTTTCCATCACCCCGCCCCATTCTCTCGCTTTCCATCACCCTGCCCCATTCTCCCGCTATCCATCACCCCGCCCCATTCTCCCGCTATCCATCACCCCGCCCCATTCTCCCGCTTTCCATCACCCCGCCCCATTCTCCCTCCTTTCATCACCTCGCCCCATTCTCCCTCCTTCCATCACCCCGCCCCATTCTCCCACTTTGCATCACCCCGCCCGATTCTCCCGCTTTCCATCACCCCGCCCCATTCTCCCGCTTTCCATCACCCCGCCCCATTCTCCCGCTTTCCATCACCCCGCCCCATTCTCCCACTTTCCATCACCCCGCCCCATTCTCCCTCTTTCCATCACCCTGCCCCATTCTCCCGCTTTCCATCACCCGCCCCATTCTCCCGCTTTCCATCACCCCGCCCCATTCTCCCGCTTTCCATCACCCCACCCCATTCTCCCTCCTTTCATCACCTCGCCCCATTCTCCCTCCTTCCATCACCCCGCCCCATTTTCCCACTTTCCATCACCCCGCACCATTCTCCCGTTTTCCATCACCCCGACCCATTCTCCTGCTTTCCATCACCCCTCCCCATTCTCCCTCCTTTCATCACCTCTCCCAATTCTCCCTCCTTCCATCACCCCACCCCATTCTCCCTCCTTCCATCACCCCACTCCATTCTCCCGCTTTCCATCACCCCGCCCCATTCTCCCGCTTTCCATCACCCCGCCCCATTCTCCCGCTTTCCATCACCCTGCCCCATTCTCCCTCCTTCCATCACCCCGCCCCATTCTTCCTCCTTCCATCACCCCGCCCCATTCTCGCGCTTTCCATCACCCCACTCCATTCTCGCGCTTTCCATCACACCGCCCCATTCTCCCGCTTTCCATCACCCCGCCCCATTCTCGCGCTTTCCATCACCCCGCCCCATTCTCGCGCTTTCCATCACCCCGCCCCATTCTCCCGCTTTTCATCACCCCGCCCCATTCTCCCGCTTTCCATCACCCCGCCCCATTCTCCCGCTTTCCATCACCCCGCCCCATTCTCCCTCTTTCCATCACCCCGCCCCATTCTCCCGCTTTTTATCACCCGCCCCATTCTCCCGCTTTCCATCACCCCGCCCCATTCCCCCGCTTTCCATCACCCCGCCCCATTCTCCCGCTTTCCATCACCCCGCCCCATTCTCCCGCTTTCCATCACCCCGCCCCATTCTCCCGCTTTCCATCACCCGCCCCATTCTCCCGCTTTCCATCACCCCGCCCCATTCTCCCGCTTTCCATCAACCCGCCCCATTCTCCCGCTTTCAATCACCCCGCCCCATTCTCCCGCTTTTCATCTCCCCGCCCCATTCTCCCGCTTTCCATCACCCCGCCCCATTCTAACGCTTTCTATCACCCCGCCCCATTCTCCCGCTTTCCATCACTCCGCCCCATTCTCCCGCTTTCCATCACCTCGCCCCACTCTCCCGCTTTCCATCTCCCCGCCCCATTCTCCCTCCTTCCATCACTCCGGCCCATTCTCCCGCTTTCCATCACCCCGCCTCATTCTCCCGCTTTCCATCACCCCGCCCCATTCTCCTGCTTTCCATCACCCCGCCCCATTCTCCCGCTTTCCATCTCCCCGCCCCATTCTCTCGCTTTCCATCACCCCGCACCATTCTCCCGTTTTCCATCACCCCGACCCATTCTCCTGCTTTCCATCACCCCTCCCCATTCTCCCCCCTTTCATCACCTCTCCCAATTCTCCCTCCTTCCATCACCCCACCCCATTCTCCCTCCTTCCATCACCCCACTCCATTCTCCCGCTTTCCATCACCCCGCCCCATTCTCCCGCTTTCCATCACCCCGCCCCATTCTCCCGCTTTCCATCACCCTGCCCCATTCTCCCTCCTTCCATCACCCCGCCCCATTCTTCCTCCTTCCATCACCCCGCCCCATTCTCGCGCTTTCCATCACCCCACTCCATTCTCGCGCTTTCCATCACACCGCCCCATTCTCCCGCTTTCCATCACCCCGCCCCATTCTCGCGCTTTCCATCACCCCGCCCCATTCTCCCGCTTTCCATCACCCCGCCCCATTCTCCCGCTTTCCATCACCCCGCCCCATTCTCCCGCTTTCCATCACCCCGCCCCATTCTCCCGCTTTCCATCACCCCGCCCCATTCTCCCTCTTTCCATCACCCCGCCCCATTCTCCCGCTTTTTATCACCCGCCCCATTCTCCCGCTTTCCATCACCCCGCCCCATTCTCCGGCTTTCCATCACCCCGCCCCATTCTCCAGCTTTCCATCACCCCGCCCCATTCTCCCGCTTTCCATCACCCCGCCCCATTCTCCCGCTTTCCATCACCCGCCCCATTCTCCCGCTTTCCATCACCCCGCCCCATTCTCCCGCTTTCCATCAACCCGCCCCATTCTCCCGCTTTCAATCACCCCGCCCCATTCTCCCGCTTTCCATCTCCCCGCCCCATTCTCCCGCTTTCCATCACCCCGCCCCATTCTAACGCTTTCTATCACCCCGCCCCATTCTCCCGCTTTCCATCACTCCGCCCCATTCTCCCGCTTTCCATCACCTCGCCCCACTCTCCCGCTTTCCATCTCCCCGCCCAATTCTCCCTCCTTCCATCACTCCGGCCCATTCTCCCGCTTTCCATCACCCCGCCCCATTCTTCCGCTTTCCATCACCCCGCCCCATTCTCCCGCTTTCCATCACCCCGCCCCATTCTCCCGCTTTCCATCACCCCGCCCCATTCTCCCGCTTTCCATCTCCCCGCCCCATTCTCCCGCTTTCCATCACCCCGCCCCATTCTCCCGCTTTCCATCACCCCGCCCCATTCTCCCTCTTTCCATCACCCCGCCCCATTCTCCCGCTTTCCATCACCCCGCCCCATTCTCCCTCTTTCCATCACCCCGCCATATTCTCCCTCTTTCCATCACCCTGCCCCATTCTCCCGCTTTCCATCACCCGCCCCATTCTCCCGCTTTCCATCTCCCCGCCCCATTCTCCCGCTTTCCATCACCCCGCCCCATTCTCCCGCTTTCCATCACCCCGCCCCATTCTCCCGCTTTCCATCACCCCGCCCCATTCTCCCGCTTTCTATCACCCCGCCCCAATCTCCCGCTTTCCATCACCCCGCCCCATTCTCCCTCTTTCCATCACCCCGCCCCATTCTCCCGCTTTTTATCACCCGCCCGATTCTCCCGCTTTCCATCACCCCGCCCCATTCTCCCGCTTTCCATCACCCCGCCCCATTCTCCCGCTTTCCATCACCCCGCCCCATTCTCCCGCTTTCCATCACCCGCCCCATTCTCCCGCTTTCCATCACCCCGCCCCATTCTCCCTCTTTCCATCACCCTGCCCCATTCTCCCGCTTTCCATCACCCCGCCCCATTCTCCCGCTTTCCATCACCCCGCCCCATTCTCCCGCTTTCCATCACCCCGCCCCATTCTCCCGCTTTCCATCACCCGCCCTATTCTCCCGCTTTCCATCACCCCGCCCCATTCTCCGGCTTTCCATCACCCCGCCCCATTCTCCAGCTTTCCATCACCCCGCCCCATTCTCCCGCTTTCCATCACCCCGCCCCATTCTCCCTCTTTCCATCACCCTGCCCCATTCTCCCGCTCTCCAGCACCCCGCCCCATTCTCCCGCTTTCCATCACCCCGCCCCATTCTCCCGCTTTCCATCACCCCGCCCCATTCTCCCCCTTTCCATCACCCCGCCCGATTCTCCCGCTTTCCATCACCCCGCCCCATTCTCCCGCTTTCCATCACCCCGCCCCATTCTCCCACTTTCCATCTCCCCGCCCCATTCTCCCGCTTTCCATCACCCCGCCCCATTCTCCCACTTTCCATCACCCCGCCCCATTCTCCCTCTTTCCATCACCCTGCCCCATTCTCCCGCTTTCCATCACCCGCCCCATTCTCCCGCTTTCCATCACCCCGCCCCATTCTCCCGCTTTCCATCACCCCACCCCATTCTCCCTCCTTTCATCACCTCGCCCCATTCTCCCTCCTTCCATCACCCCGCCCCATTTTCCCGCTTTCCATCACCCCGCCCTATTCTCCCGCTTTCCATCACCCCGCCCCATTCTCCCGCTTTCCATCTCCCCGCCCCATTCTCCCGCTTTCCATCACCCCGCCCCATTCTCCCGCTTTCCATCACCCCGCCCCATTCTCCCTCTTTCCATCACCCCGCCCCATTCTCCCGCTTTCCATCACCCGCCCCATTCTCCCGCTTTCCATCACCCCGCCCCATTCTCCCTCTTTCCATCACCCTGCCCCATTCTCCCGCTTTCCATCACCCTGCCCCATTCTCCCGCTTTCCATCACCCCGCCCCATTCTCCCGCTTTCCATCACCCGCCCCATTCTCCCGCTTTCCATCTCCCCGCCCCATTCTCCCGCTTTCCATCACCCGCCCCATTCTCCCGCTTTCCATCACCCCGCCCCATTCTCCCGCTTTTCATCACCCCGCCCCATTCTCCCGCTTTCCAGCTCCCCGCCTGATTCTCCCGCTTTCCATCACCCCGCCCCATTCTCCCACTTTCCATCACCCCGCCCCATTCTCCCGCTTTCCATCACCCCGCCCCAGTCTCCCGCTTTCCATCACCCCGCCCCATTCTCCCACTTTCCATCACCCCGCCCCATTCTCCCGCTTTCCATCACCCCGCCCCATTCTCCCACTTTCCATCACCCCGCCCCATTCTCCCGCTTTCCATCACCCCGCCCCATTCTCCCGCTTTCCATCACCCGCCCCATTCTCCCGCTTTCCATCTCCCCGCCCCATTCTCCCGCTTTCCATCACCCGCCCCATTCTCCCGCTTTCCATCACCCCGCCCCATTCTCCCGCTTTTCATCACCCCGCCCCATTCTCCCGCTTTCCAGCTCCCCGCCTGATTCTCCGGCTTTCCATCACCCCGCCCCATTCTCCCACTTTCCATCACCCCGCCCCATTCTCCCGCTTTCCATCACCCCGCCCCATTCTGCCTCTTTCCATCACCCCGCCCCATTCTCTCGCTTTCCATCACCCCGCCCCGTTCTCCCTCTTTCCATAAACCCGCCCCATTCTCCCGCTTTCCAGCACCCCGCCCCATTCTCCTGCTTTCCATCACCCCGCCCCATTCTCCCGCTTTCCATCACCCCGCCCCATTCTCCCTCTTTTCATCACCCTGCCCCACTCTCCCTCTTTCCATCACCCCGCCCCATTCTCCTGCTTTTCAGCACCCCGCCCCATTCACCCGCTTTCCATCACCCCGCCCCATTCTCCTGCTGTCCATCACCCTGCCCCATTCTCCCGCTTTCCATCACCCCGCCCCATTCTCCCGCTTTCTATCACCCCGCCCTATTCTCCCTCCATCCATCACCCCGCCCCATTCTCCCTCCTTCCATCACCCCGCCCCATTCTCCCGCTTTCCATCACCCCGCCCCATTCTCCCGCTTTCCATCACCTCGCCCCATTCTCCCGCTTTCCATCACCCCGCCCCATTCTCCCGCTTTCCATCACCCCGCCCCATTCTCCCGCTTTCCATCACCCCGCCCCACCCTCCCACTTTCCATCACCCCGCCCCATTCTCCCCCTTTCCATCACCCTACCCCATTCTCCCGCTTTCCATCACCCCGCCCCATTCTCCCGCTTTCCATCACCCCGCCCCATTCCCCCGCTTTCCATCACCCCGCACAATTCTCCCGCTTTCCATCACCCCACCCCATTCTCCCGCTTTCCATCACCCCACCCCATTCTCCCGCTTTCCATCACCCTGCCCCATTCTCCCTCCTTCCATCACCCCGCCCCATTCTTCCTCCTTCCATCACCCCGCCCCATTCTCGCGCTTTCCATCACCCCGCCCCATTCGCCCGCTTTCCATCACCCCGCCCCATTCTCCCTCCTTCCATCACCTTGCACCATTCTCCCGCATTCCATCACCCCGCCCCATTCTCCCGCTTTCCATCACCCCGCCCCATTCTCCCTCCTTTTATCACCTCGCCTCATTCTCCCTCTTTCCATCACCCCGCCCCATTCTCCCGCTTTCCATCATCCTGCCCCATTCTCCTGCTTTCCATCACCCCGCCCCATTCTCTTGCTTTCCATCACCTTGCCCCATTCTCCCTCTTTCCATCACCCCACCCCATTCTCCCTCCTTCCATCACCCCACTCCATTCTCCCGCTTTCAATCACCCCTCCCCATTCTCCCGCTTTCCATCACCCTGCCCCATTCTCCCTCCTTCCATCACCCCGCCCCATTCTTCCTCCTTCCATCACCCCACCCCATTCTCGCGCTTTCCATCACCCCACTCCATTCTCGCGCTTTCAATCACCCCGCCCCATTCTCCCGCTTTCCATCACCCCGCCCCATTCTCCCTCTTTCCATCACCCTGCCCCATTCTCCCGCTTTCCATCACCCCGCCCCATTCTCCCGCTTTCCATCACCCCGCCCCATTCTCCCGCTTTCCATCACCCGCCCCATTCTCCCGCTTTCCATCTCCCCGCCCCATTCTCCCGCTTTCCATCACCCGCCCCATTCTCCCGCTTTCCATCACCCCGCCCCATTCTCCCGCTTTTCATCACCCCGCCCCATTCTCCCGCTTTCCAGCTCCCCGCCTGATTCTCCCGCTTTCCATCACCCCGCCCCATTCTCCCACTTTCCATCACCCCGCCCCATTCTCCCGCTTTCCATCACCCCGCCCCAGTCTCCCGCTTTCCATCACCCCGCCCCATTCTCCCACTTTCCATCACCCCGCCCCATTCTCCCGCTTTCCATCACCCCGCCCCATTCTGCCTCTTTCCATCACCCCGCCCCATTCTCTCGCTTTCCATCACCCCGCCCCGTTCTCCCTCTTTCCATAAACCCGCCCCATTCTCCCGCTTTCCAGCACCCCGCCCCATTCTCCTGCTTTCCATCACCCCGCCCCATTCTCCCGCTTTCCATCACCCCGCCCCATTCTCCCTCTTTTCATCACCCTGCCCCACTCTCCCTCTTTCCATCACCCCGCCCCATTCTCCTGCTTTTCAGCACCCCGCCCCATTCACCCGCTTTCCATCACCCCGCCCCATTCTCCTGCTGTCCATCACCCTGCCCCATTCTCCCGCTTTCCATCACCCCGCCCCATTCTCCCGCTTTCTATCACCCCGCCCTATTCTCCCTCCATCCATCACCCCGCCCCATTCTCCCTCCTTCCATCACCCCGCCCCATTCTCCCGCTTTCCATCACCCCGCCCCATTCTCCCGCTTTCCATCACCTCGCCCCATTCTCCCGCTTTCCATCACCCCGCCCCATTCTCCCGCTTTCCATCACCCCGCCCCATTCTCCCGCTTTCCATCACCCCGCCCCACCCTCCCACTTTCCATCACCCCGCCCCATTCTCCCCCTTTCCATCACCCTACCCCATTCTCCCGCTTTCCATCACCCCGCCCCATTCTCCCGCTTTCCATCACCCCGCCCCATTCCCCCGCTTTCCATCACCCCGCACAATTCTCCCGCTTTCCATCACCCCACCCCATTCTCCCGCTTTCCATCACCCCACCCCATTCTCCCGCTTTCCATCACCCTGCCCCATTCTCCCTCCTTCCATCACCCCGCCCCATTCTTCCTCCTTCCATCACCCCGCCCCATTCTCGCGCTTTCCATCACCCCGCCCCATTCGCCCGCTTTCCATCACCCCGCCCCATTCTCCCTCCTTCCATCACCTTGCACCATTCTCCCGCATTCCATCACCCCGCCCCATTCTCCCGCTTTCCATCACCCCGCCCCATTCTCCCTCCTTTTATCACCTCGCCTCATTCTCCCTCTTTCCATCACCCCGCCCCATTCTCCCGCTTTCCATCATCCTGCCCCATTCTCCTGCTTTCCATCACCCCGCCCCATTCTCTTGCTTTCCATCACCTTGCCCCATTCTCCCTCTTTCCATCACCCCACCCCATTCTCCCTCCTTCCATCACCCCACTCCATTCTCCCGCTTTCAATCACCCCTCCCCATTCTCCCGCTTTCCATCACCCTGCCCCATTCTCCCTCCTTCCATCACCCCGCCCCATTCTTCCTCCTTCCATCACCCCACCCCATTCTCGCGCTTTCCATCACCCCACTCCATTCTCGCGCTTTCAATCACCCCGCCCCATTCTCCCGCTTTCCATCACCCCGCCCCACTCTCTCGCTTTCCATTACCCAGCCCCATTCTCCCGCTTTCCATCACCCCGCCCCATTCTCCCGCTTTCAATCACCCCGCCCCATTCTCCCGCTTTCCATCACTCCGCCCCATTCTCCCGCTTTCCATCACCCCGCCCCATTCTCCCGCTTTCCATCACTCCGCCCCATTCTCCCGCTTTCCATCACCCCGCCCCACTCTCTCGCTTTCCATCACCCCGCCCCATTCTCCCGCTTTCCATCACCCCGCCCCATTCTCCTTCCTTCCATCACCCCGCCCCATCCTCCCGCTTTCCATCACCCCGCCCCATTCTCCTTCCTTCCATCACCCCGCCCCATCCTCCCGCTTTCCATCACCCCGCCCCATTCTCCTTCCTTCCATCACCCGGCCCCATCCTCCCGCTTTCCATCACCCCGCCCCATTCTCACGCTTTCCATCAAACGCTGCACTTCCTGCACGTGAGCGGCTCCTTCCGCATTTTAGGGGTGGAAGAGCTCGTTCCGAACATTCCGCCGGGTCACGTGGCTGCACTTGTCTGGTCCTATTACCAAGCTACCAAGGGCGTGGGAGGGTTGCAAGCATCATCGGACATCGACGCTCGCAAAAGAAGAGCGCCCGCTGCACTTCCTGCACATGTGCGGCTCCTTCCGCGTTTTGGAGGTGGAAGTGCTCGTTCCGAGCATTTTTGTTCCGCCGGGTCACGTGGCTGCGCTTGTCTGGTCCTATTACCAAGCCAGCAAGGGCGTGGGAGGGTCGCAAGCAGCATCGTTCATCGGCGCTAGCGAATGAAGAGCGCCCGCTGTACTTCCCGCACGTGTGCGGCTCATTCCGCGTTTTGGGGGTGGAAGCGCTCGTTCTGAGCGTTTTTCTTCTGCCGGGTCACGTGGTTGCGCTTGTCTGGTCCTATTACCAGGCCAACAAGGGCTTGGGAGGGTTGCAAGCATCATCAGACATCGGCGCTCGCAAATGAAGAGCGTCCGCTCCACTTTCTGCACGTGTGCAGCTCCTTCCGCATTTTGGGGGTGGAAGCGCTCGTTCCGAGCGTTTTGATTCCGCCGGGTCACATGGCTGCACTTGTCTGGTCCTATTACCAAGCCAGCAAGGGTGTGGGAGGGTTGCAAGCATCATCGGTTATTGGCGCACGCAAATGAACAGCGCCCGCTGCACTTCCTGCATATGTGCGGCACCTTCCGTGTTTTGGGGGCGGAAGCGCTCGTTCCGAGCGATTTTTCTTCCGCCGGGTCATGTGGTTGTGCTTCTCTGGTCCTATTACCAAGCCGGCAAGGGCGAGGGAGGGTCGCAAGCAGCATCGTTCATCAGCGCTCGCGAATGAAGAGCGCCCGCTGCACTTCCTGCACGTGTGCGGCTCATTCCGCGTTTTGGGGGTGGAAGCGCTAGTTCCGAGCGTCATTCTTCTGCCGGGTCACGTGGTTGCGCTTGTCTGGTCCTATTAACAAGCCAGCAATGGCGTGGGAGGGTCGCAAGCAGCATCGGTGATCGGCAATCGCGAATGAAGAGCGCCCGCTGCACTTCCTTCACGTGTGCGGCTCCTTCCACATTTTGGGGGTGGAAGCGCTCGTTCCGAGCATTTTTCTTCCGCCAGGTGACGTGGCTGCGCATATCTTGTCCTAAGGGCCTGTGAGGGTTGCAAGCATCATCGGTCATCGGCGCTCACGAATGAAGAGTGCCCGCTGCACTTCCTGCACGTGTGCGGATCCTTCCGCATTTTGGGGGTGGAAGCGCTCATTCCGATCATTTTTCTTCCGCCGGGTCCGTGGCTGCGCTTGTCTGGTCCTACTACCAAGCCAGCAAGGGCCTGGGAGGGTTGCAAGCATCATCGGTCATCGGCGCTCGCGAATGAAGAGTGCCCGCTGCACTTCCTGCACGTGTGCGGATCCTTCCGCGTTTTGGGGGTGGAAGTGCTCGTTCCGAGCGTTTTTCTTCCGCCGGGTCAAGTCGCTGAGCTTGTCTTGTCTTATTACAAAGCCAGCAAGGGCGTGAGAGGGTTGCAAGCTTCATCGGACATCGGCGCTCGCGAATGAAGAGCGCCCGCTGCACTTCCTCCACATGTGCGGCTCCTTCCGCGTTTTGGAGGTGGAAGCGCTTGTTCCGAGCGTTTTTCTTCTGCCGGGTCACGTGGCTGACCGTGTCTGGTCCTATTACCAAGCCAGCAAGGGCGTGCGAGGCTTGCATGCATCATCAGTCATCGGTGCTCGCGAAAGAAGAGCACCCGCTACGCTTCCTGCACATGTGCGGCTCCTTCCATGTTTTGGGGGTGGAAGCGCTCGTTCCGAGCGTTTTTATTGCGTCGGGCCACGTGGTTGCGCTTGTTTGGTCCTATTACCAAGCCAAGAAGGGCGTGGGAGAATCGCAAGCAGCATTATTCATCGCCGCTTGCGAATGAAGAGCGGCTGCTGCACCTCCTGCACATATGCGGATCCTTCCGCGTTTTGGGGCAGGAAGCGCTCGTTCCGAGCGTTTTTCTTCCGCCGGGTCACGTGGATGCGCTTGTTTGGGCCTCCAGAAAGGGCGTGGGAGGGTTGCGAGCATCATCGGTCATCGGCGCTCGCTAATAAAGGGCGCCCGCTGCACTTCCTGCACATGTGCGGCTCCCTCCGCCTTTTGGGGGTGGAAGCGCTCGTTCCGAGCGTTTTTCTAGATGCGCTTGTCTGGTCCTATTACCAAGCCAGCAAGGGCCTTGGAGGGTCGCAAGCATCATCGATCATAGGCGCTCGCGAATGAACATGCATCCGCTGCATTTCCTGCACGTGTGCGGATACTTCCGCGTTTTGGGGGTGGAAGCGCTCGTTCCGAGCGATTTTCTTCAGCCGGGTCACGTCGTTGAGCTTCTCTTGTCCTACTACCAAGCCAGCAAGTGCGTGGGAGGGTTACAAGCATCATCGGACATCGGCGCTCGCGAAGAAACATCGCCCGCTGCACTTCCTGCACATGTGCGGCTCCTTCCGCGTTTTGGAGGTGGAAGCGCTCGTTCCGAGCATTTTTCTTCCACCGAGTCACGTGGCTGACCTTGTCTGGTCCTATTACCAAGCCAGCAAGGTCGTGGGAGGGTTTGAAGCATTATCGGTCATCGGCGCTCGCGAATGAAGAGCGCGCGCTGCACTTCCAGCACATGTGCGGCTCCTTCCGTATTTTGGGGGTGGAAGCGCTCATTCTAGCGTTTTTCTTCCGCCGGGTCACATGGCTGCGCTTGTCTTGTCCTATTACCAAGCCAGCAGGGGCGTGGGAGGGATGGAAGCATCATCGGTCATCGGCGCTCGCGAATGAAGAGCGCCCGCTGCACTTCCTGCACATGCGCGGCTCCTTCCGCGTTTTGGGGCTAGAAGCGCTCGTTCCGAGCGTTTTTTCTTCTGTCGGGTCACGTGACTGCGCTTGTTTGGTCCTATTACCAAGCCAGGAAGGGCCTGGGAGGGTTTCAAGCATCATCAGTCATCGGCGCTCGCGAATTAAGAGCGCCCGCTGCACTTCTTGCACATGCAAGGATCGTTCCGCATTTTGGGGGTGGAAGCACTCATTCCGAGCGTTTTTCTTCCGCCGGATCACGTGGCTGCGCTTGTCTGGTCCTATTACCAAGCCAGCAAGGGCGTGGGAGGGTTGGAAGCATCTTCGGTCATCGTTGCTCACGAATAAAGAGCGCCCGCTGCACATCTTGCACGTGTGCAGCTCCTTCCGCATTTTGGGGCTCGAAGCGCTCGTTCCGAGCGTTTTTCTTCCGCCAGGTCACGTGGCTGCGCTTGTCTGGTCCTATTACCAAACCAGCAAGGGACTGGGAGGGTTGGAAGCATCATCGGTCATCGGCGCTCGCGAATGAAGAGCGCCCGCTGTACTTCCTGCACATGTTCGGGCATTTTGGGGGTGGAAGCGCTCGTTGCGATCGTTTTTCTTCCGTCGGGTCAGGTGGCTGTGCTTGCCAGGTCCTACTACCAAGCAAAGAAGGGCCTGGGAGGGTTGCAAGCATCATCGGTCATCGGCACTCGCGAATGAAGAGCGTCCGCTGCACTTCTTGCACATGTGCGGCTCCTTCCGCCTTTTGGGTGTAGAAGCGCTCGTTACGATGGTTTTTCTTCCGCCGGGTCACGTGTCTGCGCCTGTCTGATCCTTTTACCAAGCCTGGAAAGGCGTGGGAGGGTCTCTAGCAGCATCGTTCATTGGCGCTTGCAAATGAAGAGCGCACGCTGCACTTCCTGCACATGTGCGGCTCATTCCGCGTTTTGCGGGTGGAAGCGCTAGTTCGGAGCGTTTTTCTTCTGCCGAGTCACGTGGCTGCGCTTTACTGGTCCTTTTACCAAGCCAATAAGGGCCTGGGAGGGTTGCAAGCATCATCGGTTATCGTTGCTTGTGAATGAAGTGCGCCCGCTGCACTTCCTGCACGTGTGCGGATCGTTTCGCATTTTGGGGGTGGAAGCGCTTGTTCTGAGCGTTTCTCTTTCGCCGGGTCACGTGGCTGCGCTTGTCGGGTCCTATTACCAAGCCAGCAAGGGCATGGGAGGGTTGCAAGCATCATCGGTCATCGGGGCTCGCGAATGAAGAGCGCCCACTGCACTTCGTGCACATGTGCGGCTCGTTCCGCGTTTTGGGGTTGGAAGCGCTCATCCGAGCGTTTTTCTTCCGCCGGGTCACGTGGCTGCGCTTGTCTGGTACTATTACCAAGCCAGGAAGGGCGTGGGAGGGTTGCAAGCATCATCAGTCATCGGCGCTCGCGAAAAAAAAGCGCCCGCTGCACTTCCTGCACGTGTGCGGCTCCTTCCGCATTTTGGGGATGGAAGCCTTCGTTCGGAGCGTTTATCTTCCGCCGGGTTACGTGGCTGCGCTTGTCGGGTCCTATTACCAAGCCAGCAAGGGCATGGGAGGGTTGCAAGCATCATCGGTCATCAACGCTCGCGAATGAAGAGTGCACGCTGCACTTCCTGCACATGTGCGGCTCCTTCCGCGTTTTGGGGGTGGAAGCGCTCTTCCGAGCGTGGGTCACGTGGCTGAGCATGTCTTGTCCTATTACCAAGCCAACAAGGGCGTGGGAGGTTCGCAAGCATCATCAGTCATCGGCGCTCGCGAATGAAGAGCGCCCGCTGCACTACCTGCACGTGAGCGGCTCCTTCCGCATTTTGGGGGTGGAAGCGCTCGTTCCGAGAGTTTTTCTTCCGCCGGGTCACGTGGCTGCGCTTGTCTGGTTCTATTACCAAGCCAGCAAGGGCGTGGGAGGGTTGTAAGCATCATCGGTCATCGGCGCTCGCGAATGAAGAGCGCCCGATGCACATCCTGCACGTGTGCGGCTCCTTCCACATTTTGGGGGTGGAAGCGCTCGTTTCGAGCGTTTTTCTTCCGCCGGGTCACATGGCTGCGCATGTCTGGTCCTAATACCAAGCCAGCAAGGGCCTGGGAGGGTTGGAAGCATCATCGGTCATCGGCGCTCGCGAATGAAGAGCGCCCGCTGCATTTCCTGCACA